TGTTTCATTTGCCAGACACTGAGTACCTGATGCACATTACAATCTGCATAGCATCTAAGCATAGTAAAACTGCTCAAGTCCATTCATTCTAGATTTTAACTTGATGGTTAGCACTAATTTATCTTGCTGTTGTAAGTTATCATTCAATATTCATACCAATTCATCAATATGCGCTCATCAGTCAACATTTTCTGGCATGATCCTGCTCAGCGTGCTCTTCAGTATTGCTCCAAGGTCTGCAATATTATAGCTTGTTTTGGACAATAAGCTCTTTTAATTTTACTTTTTCTTGCTGATATATGAGCCCGATCAATTTGCGTTTATCAACCAAAATTTCATAACTTAAGTTCAACTTGATATTGATATTGCTCAGTAGTCAGGAGCAGGACCTCTGTCAGCCTCCTGGATACTTCAGATTGTTTTCAGTCAACATGCTTCTTAAATATGATATAAGTCAATCTTAAGGGATTCAAAACATCCAACAAAACGACGTACAAGAGCAAGAAAACCACCAGATAAACTAAAAAATGGCCTTGGAACAGAGCCAAGTGGTGCTCCATTTGTTTGTTGCATATTTACGTCTGGACAACGAGTTGCGGGGAAAAGTGCTGATTGTGTTGCAGTTTTAGGAGCCGGTGATTAGGCTGGATTTTTGGGTTACTTTTTCGTTCCGATTCATGTATTACATAGTGTTTGGCTTTTGAATATTTTAGTTCTTTCAGATAAATATTACTTGCCTTACAACTTTTGTAATAACGTTTCATTTTTTATAAGCCGACGTTCAGAGTCCTAAAAATACATCAGCACTACAATCAATGTAAACAAACAAATGGAGCACAACTTGGCTCTGTTCCAAGGCCATTTTTTAGTTTATCTGGTGGTTTTCTTGCTCTTGTACGTCGTTTTGTTGGATGTTTTGAATCCCTTAAGATTGACTTATATCATATTTAAGAAGCATGTTGACTGAAAACAATCTGAAGTATCCAGGAGGCTGACAGAGGTCCTGACTCCTGACTACTGAGCAATATCAATATCAAGTTGAACAAGTTATGAAATTTTGGTTGATAAACGCAAGTTGATCGGGCTCATATATCAGCAAGAAAAAGTAAAATTAAAAGAGCTTATTGTCCAAAACAAGCTATTATATTGCAGACCTTGGAGCAATACTGAAGAGCACGCTGAGCAGGATCATGCCAGAAAATGTTGACTGATGAGCGCATATTGATGTATTGGTATGAATATGGAATGATAACTTACAACAGCAAGATAAATTAGTGCTAACTATCAAGTTAAAATCTAGAATGAATGGACTTGGGCAGTTTTACTATGCTTAGATGCTATGCAGATTGTAATGTGCATCAGGTACTCAGTGTCTGGCAAATGAAACATGCGATCATTCCATTGCTACTGGAGGAGAAAGCTTGGATCACTAAATCCACTTTATGTTGATTTTGATGTTAATCATCATCACTGTATTTCTTGAAAAAAGGATTGTAGTAAAATTGTCAATGTGACAATCCATGCAACAATGTGATCATATTATGTGTTCATAGTCATTCGTGATAGTCATTATTGGTCCAATATACAATGGCAAAGCTCTCAGTCTCAGCGTTTCTTCCTGTGGATGGCCAGCAGTGACTCAAAGCTTAAAAGTATTAGTTTTCTTCACAGGGCTGGGATAAAAAGTACTGAGGGTAATCTTCCACCAAGGAACTCTACCTTGACATGGTATGAGATGTAGGCACAAGTAGGTACTCGTAGGTGCTCAGTTCCTATAGTCAGTAGTTGTGTATGTTTAGTCGGGTTACCTTAGATCAGATTGTTAGTTTTTTAATTTGCCAAATGTCCATAAAAATGTGACCTGAGCAATGAGCATACCTGAACCTGACTAACCTGACAGCTGACCTAACCTCAATCAGTCAGTCAACTGATCAGTCGGTCAGTCAACAGTCAACTGAGGAACTGGCTCATTGGGTGGCTGGTGTGAGACTGTGCATTTAAAGTGTTTCTTCTCTGAAGCTGCTCTGCACTGCTGTATGTCATGTTAGATGCTCAGAAAATGTGGGAAATGATTACTAAGCTACTTAAGTGCTTTGTTAATGCTCGAGACATGAACAAGTACAGATCTGCAGGGTACAGCTATGAGTTAGGTGCTAATTGCTAGGTGAGTATGTTATGTGAATGTGCTGTTCCCTGTTTGACCGTAAGTATACAAACAAGCACAGGGTCACAGTTATATTCAATCTCCACATAAACATACAACAAAAACGGCCATATAGCCTAACTCCGAACACACCACAGATAACTTAAGCCTTTGAAGGCACAAAAATGTTTTGATTAACAGGACAGGTCTACAATATATCCTCTGTCCTTGGGGGATCTTGCTGCCAAGTTGAGGTATGATGACTGAACTTCAGGATTGATCAACCTTTTCTTAGCCACTGCTTATATACGAGAAAGACCAAATGCTTGTTTGTTTTGATTTACAGGACATGTATACAATATATCCTCTGTCCTTGGGGGATCTTGCTGCCAAGTTGAGGTACGATGACTGAACTTCAGGATTGATCAACCTTTTCTTAGCCACTGCTTATAAACGAGAAAGACCAAATGCTTGTTTGTAAACTGCGTTGAAAATTTAATGATCCACCTTCAATTCTGACATGAAGGCACAAATGAAATAGTTCCCTCTCCTTTTGGAATACACAAAGCAAAATATTTAATAAATTTTAGTGGATGGACAAGAGCAATAAGTATAGCTTTCCCTCAAGTTAACTTCTGGCACTGTTGATGAATTACACTGGCGCTTATTCGCTTCATATTTTGTAACAAACGCGCTAAAACTGCAATATATCAGCACTATATGCTTCTTGACAAAATGCAATAGTAATAAAAATTTAGCCCTGGTGGCATTCATTCTTGGTGGAAACGTAATTACAAAATATTTTGTAGTAACTATTAAATTCCGGCCGAAAACAGTGCACGATTTAAAAAAGAATCATTCCAATGACGGTCCATTCTTGCGGTCCTGAAATCGCCACTATTTCCGGCCTCTCCAACGCAACTCGTTGTCCAGACGTAAATATGCTTGTTTGTTTACAATGATTGTAGTGCTGATGTGTTTTTAGGACTCTGAACGTCGGCTTATAAAAAAATGAAACGTTTTTACAAAAGTTGTAAGGCAAGTAATATTTATCTGAAAGAACTAAAATATTCAAAAGCCAAACACTATGAAATACATGAATCGGAACGAAAAAGTAACCCAAAAATCCAGCCTAATCACCGGCTCCTAAAACTGCAACACAATCAGCACTTTTCCCCGCAACTCGTTGTCCAGACGTAAATATGCTAAAGGATGATGGTGAAAACAGGGTGCCCGGGGCAATTTGATCAAGGCTCTTGAAATTCATTTGCACAGATCACCTGACAACCAGCGTGTGTAAGGCGTACAAAGGGGGAGAACTTCTAAATAGCCACGTGACTACATGCACCCTGCGGCACCGTTTTCACCGGCGTCCGTCATTAAGGCCGGCTTATCTAACGACCAATCAGGACTGAGGGAACTGCTGTCTGTGCGTCACCTGATCAGCTGCCATCTAAGCCCTGCCTTTTTTCCACAGGAGCCGCAGAAACTTGAGCATTGAATAAGGCCCTGGATATTGTTGATCATGTGCATTTGCCATAAATTTAAGTTCCATCAATGCTACATCACACCTACAGCATACACAAAAGTAAATTTCTACTGAATTATAGGTATAGCCTTGTGTCTACCAATCAAAAGAAAACTGAAGGAAAGCAAATCCTATTGCATCTGTTTGAACTTGTCAATTTGTAAACTCAACATGCGAGCGAGCAGGGTTGTTTGCAGAAAAATCTGACCCAATGTAACTTGTAAGCCTAGATGCCATGCATATTTACGTCTGGACAACGAGTTGCGGGGAAAAGTGCTGATTGTGTTGCAGTTTTAGGAGCCGGTGATTAGGCTGGATTTTTGGGTTACTTTTTCGTTCCGATTCATGTATTTCATAGTGTTTGGCTTTTGAATATTTTAGTTCTTTCAGATAAATATTACTTGCCTACAACCTTACAACGTTGTCCAGACGTAAATATGCCATCCTTTATGACCCTGGGAATCGTGGCGGCTTCAGAGTTCAGACACTTGTACAGGGCGATTGTCAAGCATGATAGATAAATGTGCAATATACTGCAAGTCTGCAATGCAACCGCACTTAGCTCAGTGCTGTCAAATCCTTACTATGGTATAAGATACAGTTCTGACTTCTGCTCTGCTTTGGCTCAGTAATCTAACCATAAAGAATGTAATGTCATAGCTATCATGCTATCTTATTTCTTATATCTTATATCATTGTTGGTAAGCTGCTTGTCCTGGGTAGGTAGGTGCATAATTTTGGTATATGTCAAGTTTAGGTCCTAACTACAATTGTGACGCTGTTGATACAAATATGAAACAGCAAAAATTTTAGGTTTTAGGTTAGGTTAGGTTGAAGGTTTGTAGGTTTTAGGTTCTGGTAGGTAGGTTTGTAGGTTTAAGGTTGTTAGGTTGTAGGTTTGTAGGTTTGTAGGTTGTAGGTTGGTAGGTTATAGGTAAGTACATAGGTAAGGTTAGGTCAGGTTTGATTATGTTTTTCTTTTATTTGCAAGACATATGAGTATCATTTTTGGATTCAGGATGTCAAATAATGTAAAAATATGAAAAATTTATCAATGAAATCTGCTTAGGACTTAAACTTGACATTTACCATTAATTTTGTCATTGTAAATCCCCTGCTAAGCTATTATTGATTCACAGCTGTTGCTTCCATACCTATCTTTCAATCAAAATTTCTTCCTTTATCCACCAGATGCCAGATTGATTTGACCATGGTCATGAGTCATATTGCTAGCTCATCACAGATAGTCCAGTTGCATGCTTGATGTTTGGTGCCCAACTGTCATGAATGATACCAACAATTCTATCATGGAGGTACTTATATCTGCTTTACATTGCAGGCTAGTCAACAAGATACATGATAAGGTATCTCCCTTTTGGTTCTAACAGAATGCAATTTTCAGGCCATGGATTTGCCAGGGTCAAGTCTGTTCAATGGTGGAAGTATTCACTTTGATGGTCTATCAATAGAGGCAGGAGCCAGTGGAGAGCCAGATGAGGAGGCAGAGGCAGCTGAGGAAGAAGAGAGGAGGAACCAGGAGGTATGTGTGACTGCAATCTTATTCAACTCACCTTCCTTCCACTCTCAGCAACATTGTACCATGGCTCTATGTTGTACTTGTGTCACTGATTATACTGCTGTTTTAACCTGTCATGATTTATGTTTGCTTGTGTGTGCCACCTTCCCAGTTTGGATGGCTTCGTATCCACCAGGCTAGCTTGATCTATGGCCTGGCTCCCTCCCCACCTACCTTAGTCTTTTCATTTGGCTGCTCCTTGACCTGGGAAGGGCTGAACAGATCACTTAGAAATTATTGCATTATTACTTTTACTGTTACTTTATGCCCTGTAATTCAGACCTTAAAACATAAGTAGGGCTTATGAAAAGCACATCTGATTGAGCATTTCAGTAATCTATGAAAACTTTTTTCAATATGAATGCTTATTTCAGTATGGCAGCATACCCCAGAATCCCAGTGAGGGGCTTTAAGTGTTGGTTGGGTTAGCTTTGACTTATGTGAACAAGAGTTCATGCAATTTCTGGCTTTTGCTAATTGGAAAACTCAACCACCTTCAGCTTCAGAAGTGGCTGAGTTTTTCTGAACACTATTTCTTTTTTAAGTTGATTTATGCTGCCATCAGTTTCAATAACACAAAAAAATACTTGTGTGTTATATTCTTGTGTCTTTTGCAATGCACTTCTAGCTATCAGTTATCTGAATAGTTCTTCATAAACACAACCTATAAGAAGTTCAAAATGGTTTTCAAGCATGTATAAGCTGCTATTGCTGGTGTCCATCTCTTGTATTATCGACATCTCTGCTGTTGGCATGCTGAAGGCTTATTGCCAAATTTGTCTTTTTCAGTTACAAAATGTTCTAAAAGATGCATTTGATGATCTGATTGATGATGATGAAGATGAGGATGCCACCATGAGCCACACTGACCCCAGCTTTCATCCAGAACAATATCCAACATCTACACCTTTTATTACTGGAAAGGAGAGGTAAGTGTTAGGCCTTAGCAATACTTCAGATTATGGAATAACTTAGAGCATGAACTGTCAATGGCATGTTGACCACTTAGTTATTTTAAGTTTTATTAAGCCTTAGTTTTTGAATTATACAAGTGCCAGTGTAAAATGTGACTGTGATATGTAGTTTTGAATTTTTGCCTATTTCGCTTGCTACAAATATTATTTAGCATGATAAGTGTACTTTTTTGATGCATACATGGTAGCCCTGTTTTCAGCTGAACTTTAATATGCTGCAGCCCCATCTAGGTCCACTTTTCTTGTCCTCAGATCGCTGTACGATGAACTAGGTGGCCAGTACAACCTGCCTCGAATGAGCGACCCTGGCCCTGCATATAACCTCGGCTCGGACGGCGATTACCACGGCAACCCAGGCGGCGACTACCATAGGGACGACCCAGCCGGCGACTACCACGGCGACCCCGGCGGCGGCTACCCCGGCGCCGGATACCACTCTGGGGGCGAGTACGAGCCGGCGGGCCGCGACGACGAGCCGCTCGGCTTCCAGACGCTGCAGCCAGAGGAGACCAACGCCGGCCTGACGGAGATGGTCAACACGCCCCGCCAGCACCTGGACACGTCAGGTGAGGGGGCGCCGCAGCAGGCAGCGTAGACGTCGTGGTACGAGGACTGGGCACTGTGAAAATGGGAGGCATGCTCATTGCTCGTACACTGACGCTGTGTCAAATTGACTCGTCGAGCTGCTGATAATATGGTGCTGATTCGTTCAAACGATAGTCAGCATGTCTAGCACCCGTGTCGACACTTGAGACTGACACGGCCTCTGTCTCCTCTCAGACTCGTCGGCTGCCCACTACCGCCACTGCTACACCAGCCCGCGGAGCGAGCTGGCGGCACCGGCGGCGGACGACGGCAGCGGCGACGCCGACGACCTCAGCAGCGGTAACATGATCGAGATGGGTCTGCGCGCGCACCAGGAGCCGGGCGGCTGGCCGGGCGGCGGCCGTGCCCTGCCCGAGCCGGCGGCGCGCACCGAACCCGCCGGAGACCTACTTGACCCGGGCAAATACGTGGCCAACAAACAGAAGGACTACATACTCGGTGAGCGGCTGACCGTTTGTCTAACTGCATTCGCACGGAAACTCCGAGAAGTGGGGAAGCTGTGATCCATATTTTTACGCGCTGAAGTGGTAGGGCGCGGGCCGGTACAGTGAACAGTCACTATCATGGCAGTCACGGCACAGCTGCCGCCGCGGCCGTTCAGGTATTTTACCTCGATATTTGCGCCACTCAGCTGTCTTATCGAGCGCCCCGGCGTCCTCCCGTTCTCTGCGTCTGCCTGTGTCTGACGGTCGCGCTCTCTGTGTGTGTCCGCCGCAGCGCGCACCTCGCGCGACCAGCTGGAGACCCTGTACGAGGCGCGCGGCCACGAGATCGGCCGGCTGCGCTCGGAGCTGGACCGGCTCAAGGCCGACTCGGCGGCCGAGCTGCGCGCCACCCGCCACCAGGCGGCGCTGGCGGCGGCCGACGGCCAGGGCCTGCAGACCAGTCTGCAGCAGGCGCAGAACCTGCTCGGTATGTAACACTCGGCGGGCGGAATCACGGCGCACAGTGTGCCATCAGTGTCCGCGGTCCGGGATCTGATCAACATGTTGCCTCAATATCTATTCACTATTGCCTAGACTCGAGTCCCATCGGTGTAATCCCTGAGCTGCTGTTTGCTTGTTGATTCTTTCCGAGCTCCATCAATGCTGTCTGAGCTACTCCACATTTTGTGTTTTCAGTAAAGCAGGCATGATATTGCTGTCACCGAAACAGATGCAATCACGTCACCCCTGTCTGGACATTGATAGTTTTTGCATGTGAATGCTGTATTCCTAGATACAATTAATGGTTTATTTTTTCATTTTTATGGATCTCAACTAGCTGTTGGTAAACATATGTTCTGTCTATGTAATTTTTAGTTTTCCGCCTATTTTACTTCCGCAGTGCATTTTCAGCTTTCGTGTGGTCGGAGCTATAACTTTGTTTAAGAATGCATTATTTATGGTTTTCTTGTGAATATTGTTTGCATGCGTTTGATGCAAAGTAATATTCCTGCCTGTACAGTGGAGAAAGAAGATGAACTGACAAAACTTCGCGGGGAAATTGATTCGTTAAAGATTCAGCTGAAGGCAACAGAGGATGCTAAGAAAGAGGTGAAGTTTTACTTTATCATGTTATCTTCTACGTTTATCTTATCGTTTATAGTGTTGTCCGGATGCACTATGCTGTTAATATTTTATTGCAATTTTGGTTTTACTCAGTAACCTTCACGCTTGTTTGCTGCGTGTTTGGCTCACTTTCTGCCTGCTGGGCCTGCTGTCTCCCGTACGCTATCTCCCGTCGTGACCAGTATGTGTGACCGTTCGTGCGCCGTGTCGCAGAGCACCTCGCGGCTGCAGGCGGCTGAGGTGACCGTGCAGAGTCTACAGGCGGAGCTGACGGAGCTGCGCCGCTCCGAGACGCTGTCCCGCAGCGCCGAGCGCCACCAGCAGCTGGTGGACGGCCTGCAGCGCCGCCACGCCGAGGAGCTGGCCGCCCAGCAGCGCCGCATGGACGCGCTCTCGGCCCAGCTGCAGACACAGACGGACGCCGCCGCCACCCTGCGCGCCCAGCTGGCCGACTCGGAGCAGGCGCGCCACCGGCTGGCCGCCGACAAGGGTGACGTCATCAACCAGATGACGGCCGGCCTGGAGGCGGCGCAGGCGCGCTGCCGGCAGCTGATGCAGGCCGAGCCGGCCCAGCTGCGCGAGCGGCTGGCGGAGGAGGAGCGGCAGCGCGAGCAGCTGCAGCTGCAGCTGGCCGCTGCTCAGGTGAGTGGCCACGGCACTGGGTGCGGGAGGCGCGACTGAGGTCTTCAGGATGACAATAAATGATCTGGAAATGAGTGGAATAAGGCTGTTGGAGCTTGACAATCTACTAGTGTATCATTCATCCTAGCTGTATACTTTTGATGTAAGGCAACTTAAAAAGCTCGAACGATGCACCTGGCCACGGTACTCAGTTAGCCGGTGACTTGTGACATGCTGATTGCTGACCCGGTATAACGCGTGTGACGCACAGGACCAGGTGAGCAGTCTGCAGCGGGACCTGGAAGCCTGCGAGGCGGTGCTGCGCCTCGGCGGCCGGGACGACACGACGGCGGACAGCTCGGCGCCACTGGCGGGTCCCGCCCACTCCACGCCCGTCAGCAAGTGAGCAGCAACGCCGCCGCTGAGCGAAGGGAATCTAGTTTTATCGCCGGTGATAAAGCTGCTCATGATTGAGGTGCTCCGCTGAACGGTAAATCACAATGAAGTTAAGTTTGATATCATTCTTTGGCTACTTCTGTCTGCCCGTGTGGTGACCGGTCTCCGCTCCCCAGGCCGTCGGCTGCCGGCTCCACCGAGCCCTCTCCGTTCTCTCTGCGCCGAGAGCTGATGAGAGCCATGGAGAACTCGCGCGCGCGCCGCGAGGAGGTGGCCCGACTGCGCACAGAGCTGGAGGGGACGCGCGACCAGCTGCGGACCGCCACCGCCCAGCTGAGCGAGAAGGACGCCCAGCTGACGGAGAAGGACGCCCAGCTGACGGCCGCCAGAGACCAGGTGCGGGTCTGAGCGGGGACGGCAGTGAAGACCAGCGAGGGACCAGCAGGTCCCGGTGACGAGCGGTTTACTTGTTTACCCAGGGCATTTTGTGGACTGCTAAAAGAGTCTTGTGAAGTTGGCATGCCACTTAACGCACTTTCTTCTTAATCTGTGCGGCTTACCTGGACGCTGATCATTCTGAAGCCAAGCGCAATACTTTACGATTGGACAGTTAAAGGACAAGATTACGCGGAGCACAACATATTCTTGAGCTGCTTATAGAATGTGTATGGTGACTGCATCTGTGTTAACTCATAGCGGCCTCTCGTTGCTGTGTTTGTAGGCGAAGCAGGTGCAGCAGCCGGCTGATCAGCAGGCTCAGCAGCAGCAGCAGCGCCGGCTGGACGAGCTGGGGCTGCGGCTGGCCACCGAACAGAAACAGCGCAAACTGCTGGAGGACCAGCTCAGAAAGATCAAGGCCGAGGGCGAGAAGGTCCACAAGGTCAGTCGGATGCTGGGTGTTGCAGGCGCATGTCCCCGCACAGTGCACGGCCTGATTGGGTTGTGACAGTCCAGACTGGGAGCTGAGGGCCCCGGCCGCCGCTAGTGACTAGCGGCTAGTGACATGTTGAACGGCGGATGACTGTATTCACTCAATGTTTGGCCGTCCGAGTGTTTTGTGATTTGTGCACACTAACCCAGTTGCCGCCCCATACCATTTCTTGACCGATCATTGTCCCCATCTGTACTTAGTGCTGTTTCCGGACCGATGCCTTGTGATGCCTCACCGGTCTGTGTCTGCGTTCCCTCTGTACTGCGTTCTGGCTTACTTGTCCCTAGTCTGTGTGCTAACTGTTCTCTGTATCTCTGTCATGGTCAGACGGCCGTGGAGCTGCGGCGCCGTCTGTTCTGACTGTGCCTGTGTCCCTCCCGTGGTCAGACGGCCGTGGAGCTGCGGCGCCGTCTGTTCTGACTGTCCCTGTGTCCCTCCCGTGGTCAGACGGCCGAGGAGCTGCGGCGCCGTCTGTTCTGACTGTCCCTGTGTCCCTCCCGTGGTCAGACGGCCGAGGAGCTGCGGCGCCGTCTGTTCTGACTGTCCCTGTGTCCCTCCCGTGGTCAGACGGCCGTGGAGCTGCGGCGCCGTCTGACTACTGACTGTCCCTGTGTCCCTCCCGTGGTCAGACGGCCGTGGAGCTGCGGCGCCGTCTGTTCTGACTGTCCCTGTGTCCCTCCCGTGGTCAGACGGCCGTGGAGCTGCGGCGCCGTCTGTTCTGACTGCCTGTCCCCCGCGTCCCTTCCGTGTCCCTCCCGTGGTCAGACGGCCGAGGAGCTGCGGCGCCGTCTGTTCTGACTGTCCCTGTGTCCCTCCCGTGGTCAGACGGCCGTGGAGCTGCGGCGCCGTCTGTTCTGACTGTCCCTGTGTCCCTCCCGTGCTCAGACGGCCGAGGAGCTGCGGCGCCGTCTGTTCTGACTGTGCCTGTGTCCCTCCCGTGTCCCTCCCGTGCTCAGACGGCCGAGGAGCTGCGGCGCCGTCTGTTCTGACTGTCCCTGTGTCCCTCCCGTGGTCAGACGGCCGTGGAGCTGAGGCGCCGTCTGTTCTGACTGTCCCTGTGTCCCTCCCGTGGTCAGACGGCCGAGGAGCTGCGGCGCCGTCTGTTCTGACTGTCCCTGTGTCCCTCCCGTGGTCAGACGGCCGAGGAGCTGCGGCGCCGTCTGTTCTGACTGTCCCTGTGTCCCTCCCGTGGTCAGACGGCCGAGGAGCTGCGGCGCCGTCTGCTCTGACTGTTCCTGTGTCCCTCCCGTGGTCAGACGGCCGTGGAGCTGCGGCGCCGTCTGTTCTGACTGTCCCTGTGTCCCTCCCGTGGTCAGACGGCCGAGGAGCTGCGGCGCCGTCTGTTCTGACTGTCCCTGTGTCCCTCCCGTGGTCAGACGGCCGAGGAGCTGCGGCGCCGTCTGTTCTGACTGTCCCTGTGTCCCTCCCGTGGTCAGACGGCCGAGGAGCTGCGGCGCCGTCTGACTACTGACTGTGCCTGTGTCCCTCCCGTGCTCAGACGGCCGAGGAGCTGCGGCGCCGTCTGTTCTGACTGTGCCTGTGTCCCTCCCGTGCTCAGACGGCCGAGGAGCTGCGGCGCCGTCTGTTCTGACTGTCCCTGTGTCCCTCCCGTGCTCAGACGGCCGAGGAGCTGCGGCGCCACATGACGGAGCAGATGGAGCAAGCCGACAGAGACAAACTGGAGGCCGTGGAACACGTGCGTGCCACCTGTCTGCAGCTGCACGACGACATGATCGAGAAGGTGCGCGCCGAGAAAATGGAGGAGTACGAGACCGAACTGGACGCGCTCAGGTGAGGACGCCGCCGCTCGACAGGGACTCGATTGGGAGGTTTTATAAAACTGACGCTACCCGGTCACCGTCGGATCGCGTGGTGGTTTTCCTTTTACCGAAATGATTATGAAAAATGTTACGCAACTTACTAGTTCGATGCCTTAAGTTTTTCAGGTTTCGATTCGTGTGTCGTAAGCTCTGTAACTGAATTCGCCGTGTTAAAAATATTTGGTGATTGATGACAATGATGGTGTGAATTTTACTATAAAATGTTATTAATGTTGCTTCCATTACAGAACTGAGCTAAGTAAGGCGCAAGAGGAGCTGACTGAAGTCAAGGAGCTGTATGTGAAAGTTTGTCAGGAGAAAGATCAGCTAGAGCAAGACGCCACGGCAGGTGAGGTTCAAAGAGACGTGAACACTCATTTACTCCTCATTTACCTTGTAGGCTTCCACGAATGATATGTGACTGTGCTACGTTTGAAATACTGTCGTGTGTTTTCTGCTGTGAATTTATGCGGGATACGTTGGTCCGACCACTGACGCCCGCTCGTGCGCCGTCCGTCAGCGAGTCAGACGGCCGAGGCCGAGCGGAGCCACGCCGTCAAGTCGGCGCTCAACCAGCACTACGACCGCTGGTACGCCGACTGGAAGCGCGACCAGGAGCGCGCCATCGCCGAGGCCGTGGACGCCGAGCGGCGGCAACATCACAGGGAGGTGAGACTAGTCAGGGTGGGTGGTCACGTGTGATCCTCAGGCCGTATCGTATCGCAAAAAATGATATGGACAGCTTTGCTGCAAAATATGCCTATGCGTTTTCGTCTCGCGCTTAATGGGCCTATGTTGCGGTATGCACACTGCGCAGTATTAGCTGACTAACTGGCTATCTATGTCTTTTTACCTTTGTTTCCTTCTGTCGTCCAATAACCAGCCGCGTATATGACCGTCATTTGGTGGTCTGACGCCTGACGGAGACGTGAGAGTGTGTGTCCGAATATTCGAGTGTATGTGACACCGTATACAGGGTGTCCGGATAGTTCTGGCGCTTTTCAACATTTTCTAAAACAAATGCCATTGGTTCATAGATCCTAATCAATGGATCAAAACAATGACCAGGGACACCAAGCCACATGCTTCCGCTACGTGCTCATTCAATGTAACCATCGTCGGCGCCGACGACGGCCTCGACGTAGGGGAGGAAGCGTCTGCGGGTTTTGACGATGCGGGGCATTTCCAGGTCCTCCCATGCTGTCATGATGCGAGTCTTCAGCGACTCCAGGTTGGGGTGAGAAATGGCCTAGATCCTGTTCTACAAAACGCGTAGCACGCCTTAGTCGAGCGGGTCAGGTTAGGAGAATAAGGCGGCCTGATCTCATTTCGCCACGGTGATCTGGCCCGGCAAGCTCCTCTGTCAGTTTAGCTTGAATGGCAGCGGCGTTGTTGGAGGGTGCTCTGTGCTGTTGAAATGCGAAGTGACCCTTAGGGCATGTCGTCTTGACCCTCGGGTTGATGTGGCTGTCCAGGAACCCCTCGTGGGCCAGCCTGTTATTCATTTATTCGACATTGACGAAGATGATGGGACATTTTTGTCCATCAGACCCCTGCACTTTCTTCGATTGCCGCGCTGAAATGCTGCTCCGTTCCCATATCGCGTTCGAAACGGTCTGATGATATTTTCTAAGGAATTCCCGAGTCGAAATAAGCCTTTACCTGCTAAACCATTCATCGAAAAACGCCGCATCGCGCTGCAGCTCGAGCCTCGTTCAAGTCGCACCCGGCCGCCGCGCGCAGGCATTCAGCGACAAGGCGCATCTTCGCCCATCTACCCATCACTGAAAACGATTTCAAGGTCATATTTACACGACCTCTGGCTGAGCAATCAACGAGGGGTCATGTCTGTGATGATTGGCTGAATGTCCAATAATCACAGCGCGCGTTACACGGCGTCCAAAAGAAGCGCCAGGACTTTCCGGACACCCTGTATGCCGCCCGCCACTCCGTCCGCCAGGTGGCCAGCGGTGGAACCCAGACGGAGGAGGCGGCGGCCCCGGCGCGGCCGGCCCTCTCCGCGCACGGCACCCAGACCAGCCCCCCGCCGCCGACCCGGGACGACGCCGTCCAGGCCGACGATCAGCTGGCCGCCGAGCACGACAAACTGAAAAAGGTGCGTCTGAGCGCAGCCGGCCGGTCTCGGGCCGCTCGTCTGGGGTTTATGGCTGAGCTGCCACGCCAGGCGGACATAGGGCTCATTTGTTTGTGACGCGTTTGTTACGTTCGTAAACTTAGCCGCGCCTACGATCTATCGGTCCTGACTCAAGGTTACAGTTTTCTAGTTTCCTTAAATGCATGAGATCGTGTTGCCTTGTCTGCATTACGACACGTCTTCATAGAATAGTCACGTGTGAGCACTGTCGCATATGACAGTGATCACACTTGCTTCATTCGATGGCTGATTAGGTGACATGAAAATGGCATCAGCAATTCGAACGTGCTCTGAATGATGTGTGGCGCTTTTGGTCAATGGTCATTGTCATGCTTGGTACGAGTCCGAAACTCGGATCTCTGAGGTGCATGCTGGTCTGCGGTGTCGGGGCATGTGTCGGTCCTGGTTCTGTTGCCGATTGTGTGCATGTTGAGCATCTATCAACGCATCCTGCTTCTGGCGTTCAGAGGCTGAAGCGCGCATGTCTGGACAAGAAGAAGCTTCAGACGGAGGCGGAACATTTGCAGCAGCAAATGAAAAAGGTGGCGGATGATTACGAAGAAAGGATTAGAAAGGTACCGGGTCAGATGGACACCCGTAAACCGATTCTGTTTTTCAAATGAGCCGACCGTAGTCCACCAGCTCATATTTTGTTCACCCATTTATTATCAAAGATTAATTGTATGCATTCAGCCTAATTAAGCTTTGCTGATTAGATTAGAACTGATTTTCACGTGTCATGACCCCGTGTCATGCCCTGAAACGTGCTCATAATCAAGGAAACCTGAGCTGTGATCGCATGCCATGACCGTATACCGTAATTACATCGTAACTGCGCCATGACCTTCCGTCGTACCCGTGTGTCGTGACCTAACGCCGTCACCTCACACTGTGACCTGTGCGGCGCCAGGAGCGGCTGGAGGCGGAGCGGAAGGTGCGCGAGGCGCGGCGCCGTCCGTCCGGCTCGTCCGACTCGGATCTGGTGAAAACTCTGCGTCAGGAGCTGGAGGACGCGCACACCCGACTGAGGAAGCTCGCCGAACAGACGTGCACTGAGAAGGTGAGCAGGGCGGGCGCAGCGCCCGGTGGCGGGGCCGGGACGTGGCCAGACCACTGTATCGTCGATCTTAGTGCGATGAGTCGGGTCGCAGGTCGTTCCTCGGTGCATCTGGTTCTGACTAGGCAGCTGTTCGATGTCGGGCTGTGGACTGTTGAGTTATGTCTAATCATGCTGTTGATTCTGATACTTTGTCGGCTATGTCGGTGTTCATAGTAAAGACTTGATGACTACGAACACTGCCCGACTGACAGCCCGTCCCGATGTGGCGGCAGGACGAGCTGATCGTGGCGTACGAGTCCCGGCTGCGGGAGGCCGTAGAACAGGACCGTCGCAAGGCGGCCGCCCTGGCGACGGCACAGCGACGGCAGGAGACCGCCGACCAGCTGCGTGACGAGCTGGAGCGACTGCGCGTCGAACACGAGACCCTGCTGCGACAGAACGAGGACAACTACAAACAGGGACTGGCCAGCTACCGGCAGCTCGTCGAGAACAAGGTGGGTGGTGGGACGACCTACCGGGGTAATCGCGGTCCGGAGGAGAAAGGCGTTGCGGGAACTACGTTTGGAGTGACCCTGACAGCTGACAAGTTTTCATGTGTTGTATAATTTGTTCCAAGTCTAGTCTAAAGTAAGTTGCTGACTGCAGGTTCGGGGTCTGATGCGATAGTGTCAGTCAGATTGTAAATGTCCTGGAAGGTGAACTATCTGACTGGGCGGCGGGCGGCGCGCAGGTGGCAGAGCTCACCAAGATCGAGGAGGAACTGCGGAGGGAGTCGGCCGCAGCCTCCCAGAGTCTCCGGGAGGAGAACGCCCGGCTCACCGCCCAGACCGCCGCCCTGGAGGAGAGCTACGACAATCTACTGGCGCAGCGCCAGCAGGACCGCGAGAACTTCGAACAACAGGTGAGAATACTCACAGACGAGTCGAATTGTGGGTCGAAACAACTGACTGGAGAACAGAAATAGGTTGACTTTGTCAGAAATTATGGAAAATGACGACTTTCATGTGAGTTTTGCACAACTCGGCCACCCGTATTTAGTATACTCATTAGTGGATTCACCGCAAATTGATTGAATGTTCTTGAATGTTTTTTCCATCTCTGCCTGAGAACATGATTTCAGTATGTTTTTCGCAGTTTTCTGACGATTAATGCACCAGTTATGCGTAGCATGTGCGTACCTAGAGCATACGAGTATTCATTCAACCTAATCTTTAATCGCTACTGTCAACCGGAGCTTAAGTAGCGTCACCCGCACTCCCGTCCATGCACTGTGTTTGAGAGCCGGCCGCCATTTGTACAGTTTATCCGTGGCGCGTTCCCAGATCCAGCAGCTGACGGCGGAGTCGGCCAGCGGCGACCGCGAGCGGCTGGCCGAGCTCGAGTCGCGCCTGCAGAAGGCCGACGCCGAGTCCGACCAGCTGCGCGACAGTCTGCGCCAGAGTCGCGAGAAGCTGCGCAACTACCACGGCTACGTCAAGGAGCGCGAGCAGCACTACGACGGCGAGTTCCGCCGGCTCGAGGCGGAGTACCGCGTGGCCGTCGGCAAGATGAAGGAGAAGGTGATGCTGGCACGCGAGGGCGCCGCGCGCGCCCGGCCGCCGGCCGCCGCCGCCGCCACCCAGACCGATGTGAGCGGCGAGGAGCTGGCCCGCGTGCTGCAGGAGATATCGGCCTTCCACCGGACCTGGGGCCAGCTGCGGCTCGAGGTCACCCAGGCGCTGCAGCGCTGCACTCTGCCGGACGCCGGCCGGACCAAGCAGTCCGCGCCGCCGCCGCCGGCGGCCGAGCCCTCGACGTTCCGCTCTCACACGGCCGAGCGGCGGCTGGAGCCGGACCGGGGCCCGCCGACGGCCGGCGGCTGGTCCGACTCGGGCCGGCTCTCGTCGCTGGGCCGGCCCGACAGCGGCGCCGGCGGCGGCCTGTCGGCGCGCGGCGTCTCCCCGCTGCTGGGCGGCGACAACCAACAGGCCACCATGGAGCGGATACGGCGCGACCTCAACTTCATCTTTCACCGGGAGACGACGGCCGCCGCCGGCGGGGGCGGCGGCAGCCGGGGCGGGCTGCACAGCTCTGCAGAGGAGGTGCTGGCCCGGCTGGCACGCCTCACACCGCCCTCCCGAGACGGTGGCTGGATGAACTAACCAATGACTAACTCTAATTGATCTCTGTGATGTGTTCCAATACGTGTGTTATGCTCATGCCATATGTCTACGCTGCAATGCGAAGTACCTGTTTCATCATCATCGTCACCAGTCACCACTGCCACATTATCATTGACTGCATGGGACAATTAATGGAGACTGCTTGTTGTTAGTTTTATTAATACTCAATGATTGGCCTAATAAACTTATGAAATGTTTGTCTTACTTGTAACAAATAACGAGTCGTAGGTGTTCATGAGTCGGTTCGCTGCAGTCACCAGTATCGGACCTTGATGCCATGCGGCCCAGTTGGGACCAGCGGTACGCTGTTCCTGACTAGCTGCTCTGTCCGTCCCTGCCGGTCACTCGGCGCTGATGTTACCCGTGCTCTGTATGCACCTGATGAACAGACTCTGCCGCTGCACGGCCTGCTTGTCGGGCGGTGCGCTCGGCTCCCCGGCACCGTCGGCGGCCACCACGGGCGCCAGGCGCGCGGCCGCCTCCGCGTACCGACCGAGCACCAGCAGCTCGACGGCGGCCCGCTGCTCGGCGCCCGGGGGCGCGCCGTCGGCCAGCTCGGCGTACAGCGGCCAGCCCTGCTCGCAGGCGGCGCACTCGCAGTGGAACTGGTACTGGCGGCGCAGCGCTGCGTACCGAGCCGTCTCCTCCTCCTCGTGGAAGTGGAAGCCGTAGTTGTCGAGCAGCTCGTCGCCGGCGCGCAGCGGCCGCGTGGTGGTCACGGTGACGCCGCGGCCGCGACTCGAGCGCACCACGTTCGGGAAACAGCTGTGGTTGGTGAGCGAGACGGCCGCGTACACGGCGCCGCCGAGCTCCTCAAACTCGGCGAGCCGCGCGCCGCCGCCGCCCAGCCGCAGCTCGGTGATCTCGTAGGCGTTACAGGAGCAGCTCTGCAGGTGTCGGAGCGCCAGCGCGGCGGCGGCCACCCGGCGCTCCGCGCTGCCGACCCCGGCGCGCTGCAGGCAGGCGGTCAGGTACAGCGCCACGGCGCACCGTTTGATGACGTCACCCATGGGCCGGTCGGCCGTGTTGGTCACCTGGCTGTGCACGGCCTCGTACGCCAGCGAGTCGTACACGTCCGAGGCGGACTCTGAGTCGAGCTCCTCTGCCCTCTCCAGGGCCTCGGGGCCGGCGCGCGCCAGCACTCGGAACACGAGCAGGGCCATGCGGCCCAGGTTCGGGTCGATGAGCAGGTCGAGCACGGGACACTCTGTGGCGTGGTAGAGCCGCAGCGCCTCTGAGCGGCACGGCTGGCTGCAGAACAGCACCTGCGACAGAGACACGGGAGTCAGAGCCTCGTCCGCCGCGGCACCAGCTGGGGCGGAGCAGAGGACTGAACGAACAATCGTGAGACAATGAGCAAAGCCACTGTGCGATAAGAGCCAAGTATTGAAGAAACGACACCGCTTGTCCTCTAGTATCCGTAAGTTTCGCACCAGCTGGTAGGCATTCAACATTATTCAATTCCATTAAATCGTTTTCCCTCAGCTTCGCCGATTCAGCTGCTATGTTGAGGGTCCAGAAGCCCCCAACCCACAGCCCATCATTCACATTCATCCATTCCCATATCGTGTAATCCCATCACTAACCGAGGCGCAGTTGGGACAGGGCAGTGGACAGTCGGCCGGCCGACAGCAGTGCTGGCAGTGGGTCGTCCACCGCGGCGGGTGCAGCGACCAGGCGAACGGCTCGTCGGCAATCACCACTGAACCTGCGGAGACAGCATGTCAGAACCCGTACTCGGCGGAACGGCGGCGGTGGAACGGCTAGACTGGCCAGCGTGACTATGGTGCGACTCAAGTGGTGTCTCCCTGTGTTTTGAGTGTCACGTTAGTGAGTCAAGCGTGGTGCCTATGAAGAGTTAGCGGGCGAATCACTAACTAGGGCGCGTGGTCAGTCTTCCCTGTCGTGTGCAGGGTGCAGGTCTGCCCTGGCACTGCACCGGGCGCTGGCAGCCCGCCCAATCGGCCGGGAGGCGTGGTGGGGGTGATGTCGTCTGTTCAGCCCACGCTGTTACTAGTTAGCCTGGGATTCGTGTGAGTGAGATGACGTGCGGCAATTTTGTGCACTTGTTTGACCATTCTATGCTTTTGAGCGTAGAAGCAGGGTGTCCCAGTTGCGTGCTAGGACTCTGGCCTAGCCATATACCCCAGTGGGAGAGCCCAGTACCCCACATCCCCGCGGAGCTGCTCACCGGGCGGAATGTCGGTGGTGGCCACCAGGTGCCGGCCGCGCCGCTCGCTCGTCACCAGCTCCACGGCGGACGAGACGCGCCGCAGCCGCTCGTGCTCGCCGGCGAACAGGCGCGGCGCCGGCGGCGGCCCGGGCGCCGAGCTGTCCGCCTGCGCCGGCTCGGCGTCCGTCAGCCGTTTGCGGATGGTGCCCAGCTCGCGGGCGTACATGGCCTGCTGCTGGCGCTCCAGCTGACGCACGATCTGCAGCGCCTGGCGCACGCTGGCCTCGGCGGCCGGCCGGTGCGCCAGCGCCGCCTCGAAGCGGGCGCGCTCGACCAGCAGCTGGACGCGCGTCTCCACGGGCGCGGCGGCCAGCGCCGGCTCGTCGAGCAGCCGCTGCGCCTCGGCCAGGCCGCTGGAGAAGCGTCCCAGCTCGTACACGGTCCACAGCCGGTTGAGGAGGACGGCCAGGTGCAGCTCGGACGGCGCGGCGCCGGCCGCCGGCGCCGGACAGTGCTGCAGCGCCGTGTTACACAGCACCAGCTTGCGGCTCGAGTCGGTGCAGTTCATGGCCATCTCGAGGTAGCTGCGCGCCTGCTGCTCCGACTTGCCGGTGCGGCTGGCGGTCGGCAGCCGCAGCCGGCCGGCGCTCTCCAGCCGCAGCACAGCCGACACGCGCTCCGAGTCCGTGTCGAGCGCGTCGAACTCGGCGCGGAACTGCTCGATGCCCAGCGCGCGCACCTCGGCGCACACACCGTCGTAGAAGGTGGAGAAGGCGTCCTCGCCGAACGGCTGAGGGCCGGCGCACGTGGGGCCGTCCATGGCTGCTCCGACACTCGACACGGACTGGCCGCCGGGGCACGCGGCGCGAGCCGAGGGCGGCGGAAGAGGTGCGCGGTATTTATAGCTGGCTGACGGCCGCTCCGAGCTGCCGCCGCCGCCTCCGACGAGACCGGCGCGCGCCCGACAGGGGCAGCTGACGCCTCTGACGCCGACGGATGGCCCACGGCGTCGGATTGAGACGGAAAATTTCAGTCATCTTGCGTGTTTTCCAACGCCAGCTGCTCTGCGTCGCCGCTTTAACCCACAACTTGTACACAGTCCCTTTACACTACCAGACCCGAATTCGGCAGGTCCGTCGCTGCCGACAGCAGCCGTCACCGTCGGTTTCGACAGGCGGCGGCCGTTACGGGCCGAACCTGTTCGGACGGGGATAGCCCCGGCGACTGGCGAGCGGTCTCGGCTCTAACTAGCACAGTGGGTCGAGAGATCAGAGCGAGCCGCCGACCGTGACCGGAGCGAGCCGTTGTTGGTCGCAGCTAGACCGCCGGCTGCGATCAAGGCGGGCGATCAGTTACGTCAACAGATTGCAGAGGTCGATTTTTGACGTATCGGTTGGAAACAGTGGAATCTGACGGACGAACGGACGAATTGTTAGTTAACCAAACGGCTGGGAAATCACCTTCGATACGAAAGCTGTGACGTGATGATGTGAAATAAGCACCGAAAGGCTCACTGAAGGCGTAATATTCTCGCTTATGGTAGCGTGCAGCAGACTAACACAAGAATAGAACGTTTGCTTTTATTAACAACAAAACATGCATAAATACATTTAATACGCTACTGAAAGAGGCATTCTGTTCGCTACGGCACACAAATCAAAGACATCCGTCTGGAGTAAACAATGATGGAACGTTGAGTCTGACAGGCGGAGCGAAACATGACACAAAGTGCCCATTCCATCCTACCCTGCCAGTTCGACACTACCTGCACGTCGATGCAGCTTCGCACGACGACGGCAGCGGTGGCTGGCTGAGACGCGCACGGTGTGAAGTCAGTACCTGCCTGACCGGCGCCCCAGCGCCGCGGCAGCGCTCTGAGCGACACCAACACAGCCGACGGACTCCACGACCGGCCACAGCGGCAGACGACACGTCGCCGGTGTCAGTCAGCCGAGCACCGGATCGGACAGACATGATAGGAAAGATGAGGAATCACTGACAGCTGCCCTGTCGCAGGCGAGCTGGGTCGCCAGGCCACCGATCTACAGTACGCTGCGGGTCTGCCCGTTACACCTCTCCACACAGCCTGGGGCCGACCCGGACCCCTCCTAGTCCGTTACAGTCACTCGGTCACCGGCGGCGGGTCCACCTTGGCCTCTGCCGCCGGTGTCGCTGATGGCTGAGCGGTCGTCTCCCTCCGCTGCTGCTGCGGCTGCCGCTCCGCCTCAACGCCGGCCGGCTCGGCGGAGGGCGGTGCGGACGGCGGCGGCGGCGGCGGCGGCGGAGGGCAGGACTGCGGAGCGGGCTCCTTGGCTGGCACCGGCGCATCCACCGGCGCCTCCGCTGGGGCCTTGTCCTGAGTCGGGACTGGGTCCGGGACCGAAGGCGGTGCTGAGGCCGGAGCAGCGGCAGGGGCGGGAACGGCGGCATCCGGTGCGGCGGCAGCGGCGGGAGCAGAGGGCGGCTCGGCTTTGAACGCCTTGGCGGGGGGTCGGCCACGACCGCTGCAGTTGCCGCACAGCCAGCCGTAGCCGAGCCTCTTGGGCGTCTTGGAGACGGGCGGCACCAGGCAGCTGAAATGGTAGCAGCTGCCGCAGTTGTCGCACCTGGAGACGGGCAGACAACGGTCACCATCACACGCAGTGACTGCGATATGAGCTCCCGTGGCTCCATACAGATGGTCCTTAAAACATAGGACTGAGATGACTACCGACCATTCACGGCTACCGACCATTCGGCTAAACATAGGCTACCGACCATTCACGATACCTACCACGACGACCCACAACCTCACACAATAGCCATCTTAATTCTTAGCCACATGTTGCACGACCTGCCACCTGGGTGACATATGGCGCGCTACACCTCAGCACAAGCACAGAACGGCGCCAGGACTGGCCGACCACACCCCCTCCCCTGTCACTCCTCACGTAGGCGCGCGGGTCACTCACCGAACTGTGGTCGCCGCGCTGCCGGCGAGCTCGCAGTTGGAGCAGACCACCGCCGCCGCTGCCGCTACCGGTGGCGGGGCAGTAGCCGGCCCGGCCTCTGATACCACAGGACGGATCTGGCGGGGACAGACGGAGTCAGCGGTGCACGGAGACAGGCGGCCGGAAGCGCACACACGCCGGTGACACACCCCTCTGCGACCGCTGCCAGGCCACGTAGGCCAGGCCCGCACCACCGGCGAGCGAAGCAAGCCTGCGCACATATAAAACGCACAGGCTAACCAGCCGCCCACAATGGAACTAAACCAACCAGACAAAAACTAGCACCCTTAATTACCAAGAACCGTTACACAGCACATATATCGTCTATAAGACAATCATCAATCAGGCGGTATACATTTGGCTACATAAGTTGATACAGCAATAGGAAACATTTAAAACGATTATGGAACCAGTCCCGCCTGAGACTGTCGGCGACCTACCTTGATTTTCATGTCGGTCATCACCTCGACCACGTGACCTCCACTCGAGCGGCGGCGCCTGGCGAGCACCTTCTGACGCTGCTGCTGGTGCCGCTCTCGCGCTTGTTTGAGCGCCAGCACCTGCTCCTGGTAGAGCTGCATCTCGGCCTTGGTGCGCCGCTGGCGGGCAGGCCGCCCGGAGCTGGACGGCGACGGCAGGCCGGCGGCGGGAGCAGCCGCTGACGGCCCGTCCGCGGCGGCCCCGGGACCCTCAGCAGCGACCGCAGGGGCGGGTACCGGCTCCGCGTCCACCGCAGGGACCGGCAGCGGCTCCGCACCGTCCTTCTGAGCCTCCAGCAGCCGGGCGGCCTCCATTTCGGCCTTGGTTCTCCGCCGGCGGCGGGGCTTCTTCAGCGGCGGGCCGGTGGCCCCGGCAGGTCCGCCGGCGGGCCCGTCACCGGCCGCCGCCCTGGCTGCCTTCAGCCTGGCGCGCTCCTTCGGTCCCGGTTTGAATCTTGGCCGTTTGGCGGGCGTGGGTCTGGCCAGAGTAGCGGCGGCGGCCGGCGGCGGCTCGGCTCCGTCGGCAGCCGCCGCCGGTGGGGGGTGCTCGCCATTCCGAGACGGAGGCGGTGGCGGAGCGCTCCCGGTCGCCCCGCCCTCCGCTGACGAGGCCTCCGACTGGGACTGCCTCTCGGCCCGGCGCCGAGCCAGAAACTGGTTGAGGGCCTCGATCTGTGCCTTGGTGCGGCGGCGCGCGCCACCCCCTCGCGGCCTGCCTGGGGTGCGCACTGAGAACGGTCGGCCAGGCGGGCGGCCGCGCGGCCTGCCCGGGGTGGCTGTGGCCGGTGGTCGGCCGGGGGTGGCCACGGCCGGCGGTCCCCCGGCAGCGGCCGCGGCTGGCGGTCGGCCCAGCGGCCGAGCGCCGGGCACCGAGACCCGCCGGCCCCGCCCGCGGGAGCCCGGCGGTCGGCCCCGGCGCGGCGCGGTATCCACCGCGGCCGCTGTCGCCACCGCCACCGCCGCCACTGACTCCGTCAAGGCCGGAGCTTCCGGCGCCACCGGGCTGTGCGGTGTGGGCTCCACCCTGGGCGACTTGGGCGGCCGGCCGCGCCGTTTTATTTTGAGCGGCTCAAGGGTCGGCGGCCGGCCACGGCCACTGTAGACGAACGGCGGCGGCGTGGGCGGCCCGCCGCTCGGGTCCGCCGACACCTGCTCCAGAATACCGTCTATGGTTGACTCGATACTGCTGTAGCGCCGGGGGCGGCCCGGAGACAGTGCGGCGCCGCTACCAGAGCCCGCCGCCGGGGCGGTAGCGCCGCCGTCAGTGGCGGCAGCGGCGGTGGCCGAGGCGTTGGTCACGGCGCCAGTGGAAGCGCTGTTGGGAGCGGCGGCGGCGGCGGCGGGGGACTCTGTCCTCGACCTGCGCCGTTTGGCGGTCGGGCTGGTGGGCGGCTCTCGCTGGGAGACCATGGCGTCGTTCAGTTTCTCTATGACCACAACCGAGGAGCAGGCCGCCTCACTCTGCGGGGGAGAACCAGCCGTCAGACGAGAGATGAACCCAACCATTGAGACTCACCGAGGCACCGAGGAGAGGAAGTGACAGGCTGCTTCTAACACCAGACAGACGAGCAACTACACACGGACAGACAGCCAGAAAACGGGCGGACGTTTACCTTAGCCATCACTTGCGATATGCGTCGGTCGTCGACCGTTATCGCGTCTCTCACGCCCAGACGAACGTTCGTCTGCAACGGAGGACACGGTCGAATGACCAGCGCTGCTCGGCCGACCGACCAGCGGCCGGCGACGGGGCGACACTGCACCGCACACCAGTACGATCTCCGTATATCACAGCACTCACACACGCGCGCAGACTGCACCGCAGCGATCTACACCGATACTTCACCGAAACTGCTTAAAGGAAAAGGATCGGATTGACCCCATCAGGCATTTCTACAGCGCTTACAGTCACACTGAGCCAAGCATAGTTCAATCTAACGCACCTTGAGTGGCGGTTGGCCGGCGGGATCTGCAGCATTACCAGCCGCCGCCGCAGTCGCAGCAGCAGCAGCGGCAGGCGCAGACACAGGCTCACGAGCAGCCACCGGCGTAACGCCGGCTGCCGCCGCCGCCGCCAATTTCCGTTTGGCGCGCGGCGCGTTGCCCCTCCCCACCCCCGGGTGTTTGATGTCCTTTCGCAGGTAGACGCTGCGGACCGGCTTCTTTTTCGGCGTGCCGTCGTTGCCGATGGCCGAGGCGGGCGTGGTGGCGGCAGAGACGGAGAGGGAGCGGCGCGGGGTGGTCGGCGCTGGCCGCTCCAGCCCGAGGTGGGTTTCCAGCTTCACCTGGGGCTGCCGGGGGAGCAGTGGGACCGGTCAGGCCGGCTGGGGAAGTCTGGGCTCTATAGTACACATGCTGAACAGTGAAAGGTCGCACATCACACGCGCTCCTGGGTATTTAACTGGCAGTCAAAGGCAAGTACGAATGTGCAACCAACCGACCAGCACAACACACTTTGCTCGACTTTATCAGCTGGTACCCGCCGTCCAACTAACATCCCCGGCCCAAATTCCGCTGGTGTCCCTCGACTCAGTAGCACTTCCGAGACCTTCGATTCCCACACACTCCACTCCTGACCTGCATGTTGACGGCGGCCGCTTGTCGAGAGCGCCGGTTCCGGGTGCCTCGCGGTGCGTCCGGCAGCGGGTCGGGCGACTGGGCCCGCGAGCTCACCGCCGCGCACCGCCAGCACTCCCAGCCGGTCGTCTTTGACTTTCTGGGCATGCGCGTGAGCGGCGGGTCCAGGCAGGCCAGGTGGTAGTGGTGGTGGCATGTGTCGCACAGTGCCAGTAGGTGCTGCTCGCTGCTCGAGCCGCACTCGATACACTCGTGCATGGTCAGGCGGCTGCCGGGACCTGAGGCAGGGCGGAGCGGTATGATTAGAAGGGTAGAAGGGTGGGACATGACACAGGCAGCTGAAAGCCGAAAGGGTTATGGTTAAACCGGGGTAGGGAGCCAGAAACACCACCTGAAATGGTCTAACGGCGGTCACCCGAGATACATCTGAAACATTTGAAAAATGAAACGGAGCAAAATAGGCCATCAAACCTAATAACGAATGCATAAGAAATTCATTGTCATATGCCAGTCCATGCAAGCACAGATCATCCATGTAGAAAGAGTGGCACGCCAGTCGCCAGTAGTCTATTGACACTTCTGTTTCAAAAGCATTTTTCACACAACACTCATGTAACCCGCTGTGACCACTGACCAGCCCACGGCCCACACTCACGATGGCCGGCGAGTTTGGTCGGCGACGGTTTGAGCGGACTGGCGCGGCCGGCCGACGTTTTGCGGACGCGCGCCTGTTGCAGCACGGAGGGCAGTTTGAGCTTGTCACCGGCGAGCGCGGCCAGCTGGCGGTGCAGCAGCAGGCCGGTCGAGCGCAGCTGCTCGCCCGCCTGGCGCAGCTCAGACAGACTGGCCTCCATCTGCGGGTGGTCCGGTCCGGAACGTGGTCAGATGGGAACACACGGGCAGCGCGGAAGGCCAGGCGAGTTACGGACGACATGTCCAGCCTCTATGCGAAACCGTGCTGAAACCCAAAATGACCTCAACCTATTATCAAACGTCTATAAGTGATTACACAATCGCAAATGATTTCGCTATAGGTGTTGATTTTCTGAGGGCAAATTTATTGCGCTGATTATTTTCGCTTCATATCTAGGCTTTGTTAGATGGTTCTGGCTAAGTCCGCCTCACCTGCGCGTACGACTCCCTGAGTGTGTTCTCCTGCCTCTGGAGCGCCGCCTTCTCATTCATCAGCTCCTTCAGCGACCGGGACATGGACGTCATTCGGTGGCTCCGGTCCAGAAAGTAGCTGACAAACTCCATACTGGCCGGACCAAAGGGGGATGTGAACCACTGGGCCACGACCCACGTCACCACGGGGGAAGGCAGACATCGCATAATGTGAACACAGCCACCCGGAGAACCCGGCTGGCAGCCTCACATTGCGACTAGCACAAAAACAAGTGCGGTTACGGATGGTAAAGCGCCAACTATTTGGTCAATCGTTCCCGACCCCATTGGCCGTTCTGTGACTTGACCTGACCGACTGAATACAAAGTTCCCCAGTGTGATCGCCGGCTGACCTGAAGGCGGGCGGCAGGTGCCACTTCCTGCTGACGTCGGTGACCTGCGCGGCGGCCGCCTGGTTCTCCTGCTCCAGGTCGACGCCCATGAGGGCGGCGCGCCGCTGCAAACAGCGCAGCAGGTACGGACTGCTGGCCACCGGCCGCGGCAGCTTCATCGACGGCGCTGCCGCACACAGAGCACGGGCCGGCGTTAAATGAGGGCAGGCAGAGAGAGCCCGGGTAGGACAGGGGCGTCAAACGGTGTCAGACGAGATACAGACGAGACTATCCAATAGATACCACGCACATAACGTTCAATGCAAATGAATTGACGGGCAGCGACAGACAAAGGGCGATTTATCTCATTCGTCACATCCACCCAGTCCAACAACCGTCTTTACCGACACTATCGACCGCGGCTCACGTCTACGACCGGCACTCACTCCACTTGGGTTTTCTGGTGAGCGCCGTGTCTCGATACTTTTGCTGAACGCGGCCGAGTTTGCGCTGCAGCCGCGCCGGCTCCATCTTGTGCGGGTGCTCGCCGCGCTGGTATAGCCGCATGGCAAGGAAGTTCCGTTTGCGGTCTCTGTCGACGGGGACGTTGGGTCAGCTCCAAACAATCACACTCTGATCGTATTTGGAGGTAACGGTCAGATTCCGCCATTGACAGCGGTCACACTCGGCCATTGAGCGGAGACAGTGGTCAACGAGACACGGGTCTGTACTCGGGCGCCCGGCAGACGCTGACACAATGCCAATATAGATCTGAAGCGGGCGCAACCCGCTGAGGGGCGCCATCAATAAACGTTCGGTTTATAAGCGTCCTCACCTGATTTGAGTTTTGTCGGTGTGCTGCTTGCAGTGGGCAAAGTACGGGTCGGCCGCCTCCTCGTCAATGCGCGGCTCCTGCAGCAGACCGCTGCGCTGGGCGCTGCGGACGAAAGGGACGACACGCGGTCAGGGAGCGCAGCTGTCGGAAATGGAGCCGACGAGCTACATTGTTATGAGCTATCAGTATCAGTGCTAGACACTTGCTGCAGATGCTCTGTCCAAATAAGCTGGTCACTTCTAATATTCTGCAATAAATCACGGCACGGATGCGGTGCTGTTCAAAGATGACATAATATGTCGCCACCTCGCTGAAATTCTACCAAAGTTTGAGTCTCTTCACATCCAAACAGCCGCCGGCTGCGCAGCACCACTGTCTGGTCCGTCATCCCCGTCCCCCTCCTCCACTGCTGACCCCTCCCCACTAACCAGGTGACGTGGAAGGTGGCCTTGCACATGCCGGCGTCGCACTGGATGGCCACTCCAGTGCGCGCCAGACTGGCGTCCTCACACACCGAGCACACCTTGCTGCCCCAGCGGGTGTACGGAATCTCGAACAGCGTGACACCCGTCAGCCTGTCGACGTCACTGAACGCCACGCCGGGCACGTAGAGCGCGCAGACCAGGTGCACCCAGCGGCCCGCGTCCGTCTCCTTCAGCAGACCGCCTGCCGGAGCGCGGAGGGGTGAGACGGAGACCGGCAGACGGTTACACGGGGCGGACTGGATGTGGCCATCGAAACGGGGAATGGAACGACAGGATTCCAAGACAGAATACTAGGAGGAAACACACTCACTGTTATCTGAGGACCATCGCAAAAATAGGACATTTGCCATTCCGTTCCAGCTGTCCATGAAGAGCAGACTTAAATCCCTGCGATTGATCACCCGTGGTTTCCGGCGCTGGTCAGGACCGGCCGTCTGCTACTGACCTGTGTTGGGGCAGAGGTCGCACTCGAACCGCGTGGCGCCCGCCCGACACGCGTCGCAGAACCACGGCTCGGTCGGGTCCGACGAGGCTGAGCTGCCCGAGCTGTGACTCTCGCTGATCCCGTTACAGCCTGCCGGGACACCGCGGCGAGGAGAGGTGATTCAACACTGATTATGACCTACGGGACAAGACGTCAGTCCAAAAGACGCGGTAAAATCGGGACGGGCGCGTCGACTGCCGGGTCATTTACGAGGCCCTGTGATGATATCTGTAACAGGCCAGCAAAAACTCAGCTGCCAAATACACTCGTGTATCACAAGCTCACCTTCATGGACCGTGACGTGGCAGGAGTCGCACTCGACGATCTCGTTCTGGTCAGAGCTGCGGTCCCCGAGGCAGATGGAGCACACCTTGATCCGCTTCACGGGCACCTGCACACAGACGAGGGCCGTATTATAAGCCGGTGAGACGCCGATTCAAATCCAGTAGATCCGTCCAATTCGCTCGCACCCATAAGGTCCCCCTGCTCGTCAGTCACCATGTCCGCCGGGGGCGAATGACCCATCTTGTGGAGGTGTTGCGGTCGGCGAGCACCCTGCCTAGCGGGGTTATCGGGGTCGGCGAGCGACTCACCTTGCTTCCAGCGGGGGCGTCGCGGGCAGCGCGGCTTATCGGCGCGGGGTTATCGGGGTCGGCGAGCGACTCACCTTGCTTCCAGCGGGGGCGTCGCGGGCAGCGCGGCTCAGCAGCTCGGAGACGGAGACGTCCGCCTCCTCCCCGTCACCTTCATCTGCAGACGAGCGCGCGCGGGGTCAGAGACATCGGCACGCCACGGACAACGCTCATACGCGGCCATACTAGCGTGACAGTACGAGATACCGAGGCTTAATCGTTTGAATAGCCAACAGGTAATATAAATCACTGATTTTGTTTTTATTGTTTTGTTTGGTTAGGCCCTTTTGGTCAGTCAAGACCATTTCAGAGCCGGAAGGATGATAGGGATTAGGGGGAGACATTGGTCTCCGACTCCGACCGATCTGCCGGCCGGCCGGACGACGCTAACCTTCGCCGCCGCTTTCATCTGAATCGCTCTCTTCCTCCTTGTCTTTGTCGGCATCGCCGTCGTCGTCGTCGTCGTCGTCGCCGCTGAAGTTGGAATCGCCGTCATCGTCCTCATCCTAAGACACAAAAAAACCAAAAAAGAAACACATAAAAAGACATCAATTAATCAACTAACCGTAATATCATCATAGTAAAACTGAATTTCTTTGCTGACTGGAGCAATAGGTATAGCAGAAATGCACTAAGTCACCCTCTCCATTTGACGCCTCCCCAGAGGCAGTCATTTCAAAGTGGTAGGTGTTCGCGAGAATCGCACAGTTCACCCGTTCGATACGTTATCCGGCCCGCAGGACCAGAAATGTTCGTGCGTGTTCGCGATCGTTCACTCGTTCCAGTTCGTAATCGTCCGTCGCCCGGAGGACCATAAAGTTATTGTTCATATATGGTAAGGTATTCGCTTGGTCGGCACGTCGTTTACCTAAGGCCGCATCGGCCACATCGTTCACGTCAGGACGCGTCGGTCACGTCGTATGACACCGGGCCGTTTCGCACCGGCGGAGTCCCGTTCGGGCGTGCTAAGCCTACAATTGCGCGGCACGGCGCGGCAGGCCGACTGCAGTGCTCCAAGCGCCGGCCATCTTCCTACACAGATATCTACAGAAACGTAATTTGCTCGCTAGCAGTAGGTAACTGACCTTTTCATCCACTTTGTAGTCAGAGTCATCTGAGCTGTCCTCCAGTGTCATTCCCTCAAACTCCTCCAGTGCCTGCTGACTGGGCTTGACTCGTCGCTTACTTGGGTCTCGCTCCACTGCACACATCCATAAAAGTTAGTCATTGTGGACGACTATGCAACAAGTTTACGGGCTAAACAAGCATTAATTGCTTACTCCAAATTTGTAACAGTGCAGTAAAATTGCTTACTGTAGAGATCACTTAAGATATCAATACCCTCTCAACTCAAACATGCACCAATAAAACATACCTATGGGTCTTATATCAACAAATATTTCAAAAATAAAAACATGACCACAGCAAAGCAGTTACAACTTACAAGGAAATGGTTATGAATTACTTACCCATTGCTTTGATAAGAAAGCCCACAGCATCTATTTTTCCAGGCATCTTGACCTATGCTCAGTTTAAGATGATGTGAAAGCTGCAACAGTGATAAAGTGCAATTCAACAGGACGGCAAGTAGAAATAGTCAAAACATGTAGAAATAAAAAATTATGCCAATGTTCCAAGGCTGATATTCGATAAATAATTAAATTGGCATGCATAAGACCTGTGCGTAACATAAGGTGCATAAATCGAGATTTCGCACCACACGGCTCGCCTTTACACCCGTATCGGTATTTGAACGGTATATAATTTATAAATGCCTTGCCCGCACCCGGCGCACCCGGCACCGCACGCACCACAAGCGCGCGATATTGATATCGTGAAGCAGGCTCGCGGAATTTCAGGCATATGCTACAAAACGAGAACCTCTAATAATAGACATACGTTCTTAAGTGTGCAACGAGTGTTTTTGAATATGAAAATACACAGTATTTTATCAATTTACAATTGTAAACGCGCCAGTTAATTGCACCCCACCAACACTATTTCTTCGCCGCCGCACCCGCAACACATGCATAAATGAAAGCCAAATATGCAAGCCAAATTACTTTATTTTTGCTTGGGATATGGTAGCACTAGCTTTTTCTTACATGGCGCAGCTGCTACATATAAGAAATTCCCATGTGAGGTTCTTTATGTTCTTTTTGCATCTCTGTAAGGTTCGTGGTAATCAATGAACAAATCAAATCAAAGCATTTGCAAATTAAGCCAAAGTCGTTCAGTCTCGCAACGTAAATAGAATACTACTCAGTGTTGCCAGGTCGAGTGATGCCAATACCTCCAGAAAATGTTGTAAAAACCTCTAGAAACCTCTGTTCCATTGCCGCTGATTATGATGTATATACGAGTATACCTCCATACCTACCTCCGTATCACAAACCGTGGCGCTGTTTCAAAGCACGCTGCCACCCGCTGCCAGCGCGTGATGACATCATCAAGCCCATTGCTCCAACACTGCCAAAGGGTCTGTTCCAGTCGCACTTCCTAACACCTCTAAGCTCCTCCAAGATTGCTTCCCTGTTCCAGTGTCAGCTCTAGCCCCTATAGGGGCTTCATTTGTATACAAATCAAAGGAGGGTCCTGCTCCAACCTCTATCTTGCTCTTGGAGGAGTTTAGAGGTGTAAGGAAGTGCGACTGGAACAGACCCAAAGTGTGACGTCAGCGCGCTGGCAGCAGCTGGCAGCAGGCTTTGAAACACCCGGTTGTATCCCCAATCAATTGATACCTAATTCACTCATCCTTCGCATGCCCTCGCATTTGTCCACATAACTTGGTGGACTTGGTGCCCACCGTTTTTTTTTCAACTAGCAATAACAGCACCTCGGATCCCAGTTAACATGCCGACGTCGGCCCGACGTCGGCCGACGTCGGGGTGACGTCGGCAACTCGGCATCGGCATGCCGACGTCGGCCCGACGTCGGTCCAACCTCGGCACGACGTCGGCTGGATGTCGGATATGCCCGCATGTTCCGACGTCCAGCCGAGGTCCAGCCGACGTCGGGCCGACGTCGGACCGAGATCAATTGCTGAGGTCCAGCCGACGTCGGGCCGACGTCGGGGCGACGTCGGACCGACATCGGCCGCTGTTTTGACCGTTAAAATAATATAAAATACATGTTTCATGTTTCATAAAGAGCTTCTGTATTCAAAATATCCTCAGGAAACTCAAATCTTCCTCCACGCCGCAACCCCCTGATCCGGACTGGACGGGAAACTTTATCCCATTCCCATGGCCATTTGGGATTGCCCGTAAGCCGAGCTCGCCCGTAGCCGGGTGCGGTGAGTGCTTGGGGGCTGCTCGGCCTATCATTTGGTCAGGCTCAGCCCCGGCAACTCACCAGGGCCGGGCCCAGTTCATATAGAAAGGCCAGTCGGCAAGTGTCACTTTGCCAAAGTGCCACTTATCAAAGGGACACTGTAAGCCGGAACTGTATTTCCACTGCCGCGGTCGGCACCTGCACACCGAACGACGCGCAAACCCGATCCTCCCCTCCGCCTGACCCCCACTGCCCGGCGGCCGCTGCAGATGGCCTTCGCCGCTGCCGGCCGCCGGCACATCCGAACTTTGACCCGCCTGCGCGCGCGCCAACATGAGCGAGCCGGCGAAACAGATCAGCGCTGCCAGTACACCATAGGCGTAGGAACAGGGGGGGGGGGCCGGGGGGGCCATGGCCCCCCCACTTTCGGAGGTGGGGGGGCCAGCAATGTTAACTGGCCCCCCCACTTTTTGCTGTCTGTACCTAACCTACCACCCGGTAACTTGACAACTATTCAGCTTGCCCTTTAATGAGGATTCCTTTTTGTTTCTACTAGGGTGTGTCGATAGTCGCAGATTCGCGTTAGACAAAGATATAAATTGGCGCGAGCATGCCAAAACACTAGCCCTGCAGTTGGTTTTGCGTAAAAATGCGATTTGACCAGGCCCATGTCGTCCCCTATCTCTCTGCGTGTCCACTAACACGAATGACGTCACGCATGTGGGCGGAGCTATGGGCGGAGCCTAACGCACGCGGCAGTCCAAGCCGCCATATTTGAATTTATATTTTAATAGAATCTTGCCGATATTTTGGGTGAAGTCAATTTATATGGATAGCTTGGTGACAGTTTAGCTATACGAATAATAATTTATTATGGATGTGCGTATATTCAGCTTGGAATTGCAATTAAAGTTCCGCACCGCATAGATTCGAACTCGGGACCTTTGGAATACTGCGCGGGCACGCTAACCACTACACTACCGCGACCGCGCGGCGGCCGGCGGCAGGGAGGCTGCGGAGACATGGGGGGACATTTTACGTTTTTGTGAAAAAAGCAAAAGATTTAGCGAAAAACACGTCATAGATAACTTGCAGAAAATTGTCTGCTCTTTTAGATAAGATACTTAAGTTTGATATATCTTGTGCAGACTTCATTCTACAGTGCTTCGAAAATCGCTCATTTACATGGGGATTGAACGGGGCTTCGAGACTTGACTCCAAATGACGTCACGAGCTGACGTCACGAAAAGGTAGAATCGCCGGACGACCCTACCTGGTATATAGGGCCTTGGATTTGACGAGGCTCGGGCAGGTCGAAGTTACAGCGAAAAAGTCGCAGTCGACGGTGCTGCCACCTACCTACATTGCCAATAACGGGCACTATCATATCGTGATAATTGGGGTAGTTTCAAATGAGAAATGACTTCTATTTTTGTTCAAACTGCTTAAGAAGAAATAAAACTTTTCGGAAACACACATTTTTCCCAAATATCGCGTTCCATTTTTTCCTGTTGAGTTGTTAGGAAAGTGGTAAATTTCAAGGTTGACGGCTAAAAAACGAAACAGGAGGAACAGAGCAGGAATCACCAAGACGTGTGCCGCGCCGATGCTGTAGCCTGTAGATAAGGGGCGAGCAACAGAACCAGCATACCTAACGATTTTGATTACTGATAGATATTTTTCTCTAAATGGAAGACTATTAGTAACTCAGGCAAGCCTTCTAATATAGGTATCGACAGGGTTGCGGTAAAAGGTACAATCGATGGCACATTACAATTATTCTGAGTTGGGTAACAACACTCTTCAGATACCTACCATCAACAACCTCACTATCTCCTATATGGGAGCTATATCATCTGATTCCAGCGCCCTGAAAACAAACAGGTTATTGCCAAAAATATCTATATTAGCGCCTACCGACATACGCTGAATGACGCTATCAATACCCGACATTTGTAAAAGGTGATTCGCCACACAGCCCGCCGGCGTCTGAGGGGTTGAATAAGTGAGCCAGATTGCCAGCGACTCACCGCTGAACTACCGGGCATAACAAAACGGACGATGCGACATGACTCAGAGATCATCACAGACGCAACGAAAAATGTAACCGAAGGCCATCTGAGCTGTTGTTGTTGTTGTTGTTGTGTGTTCCCTCCAGCCGCGTCACCGCGGTGTAGCCGTGCGGCTCTGGAGGTCCCTCACGGCGGCCGCCAGGGCCGCCACCTCTCCGTCGTCGCGGACGTCTTTCGGGTTCAGGAAAATCGTTCCGTACATCCGGAGACGCCAGCCCATGAGGGCCGGGCACCGGAAGAAGAAGTGCCGGGGCGTGTGGCCTCCTCCCGGCACACGGTGCACCGGCCCGCCGCACAGTCGGTGTCAGGGCACTGGCGGCAATCGTCGGAAGGGTTCCGTCCAATCCGGTGAAGGTATTGGCGGGATCCTGACCAGTGGCCCGCACGGAGCTGATGGACGTCGACGGCCGACGATCTGTCCCCCGTCGCGGCCGGCGGCGGCAGCCGGTTCTCCATCAGGGTCCGGTACCAGCCCTCCGGCCAGGCGGCGATGGTGCGGTCGCGGGCCAGTCTGGCGGCCGCGCGGTGGGCGGTAGCGACGCCCACCGGGACCGCCGCCTGGGGGAGCGCGGTCGCCTCCTTGGCGATCTGGTCGGCGCGCTCGTTTTCGTCGACGCCGCAATGGGACGGCACCCACTGTAGGTGGATCCGGCGGGACGGACCGGCCAGGGCCGCTAGTTCGGTCCAGATGGCGGCTCCTAGCAGGGTCTTCTGGGACGCCGGGCCCTCTCTCAGCGTCGCGAGGGCCGACTGCGAATCCGAGCAGATGGTGATCGGCGCGCTCGGCTGGTGGTGGTCGCGCAGGTGGTTCAGGGCCGCGCGGAGTGTGACCATCTCCGCCCTGAAGCTCGAGCAGAGTTGACCGGCAGGGACGCGTTGCTCGTCGGTTGCACCGTCCGGCCACTCCACAAAGGCTCCTGCTCCTCCGCTGCGGACTCCCGCATCCGCCGACCCATCCGTCCAAACCCAGATGGCTTGCTGGGGGAGGGACGCTAGGTGTCTCTGCGCCGCCTGGTGCAGTTCGTCAGGTGGGGCGTCCCGCCGCAACGCTCCGATGTCCAGGGAGAATGTGACGTGTGGGCAGGCGGCCACCTCCCACGGCGGCGCGCGGGCGGGCAGCAGGGGCTCGATCGTGAGCACGATCCCAGCAGCCCGCCAGGTGTCGTGCCCCACCCCGCCCCATCTGAGCTCGTGCGGAACCCTCGTTCAGATACGTAATATCGCTATCTGCCACCTCGCGGTTCCCTTGTCAAGCCGAACTCATAGGCGGCGGAACGGGGAGGGCACCGCGGCACCGTGCCCCCTTTGATTTTGGCATTTTAACATTAGCCCTATGGGCGTTGCATGGAATGAATGGGACCAAAAGTCGGCAGTGCCCCCCTTAATTGAAGGTATTCCGCCGCTACTGGCCGAACTGATGACACGCAATGGCCAGTCAGTCACAGCTCAGCTTCCTGCGGAACACAGGAAGACACATTCAGTGAGAGTCGGTGGTCATTGATTGTCAATATTATTGACATGGTGACTAAAGAACGGTTATATTGCGCCAATACTGTTGCCAGTAGCAGCACCACCAATCTTTTGAACTAAAACCACTTGACATCGGTAAAAAGAAACCCTCTAGCTTTTTTCAAGCAATCCGTGAAATAGAGGGAATTAGAAAAACCGAAAACCCAAATATTAGCACTAGATAACATAGATCTTAAATTTTGGCCAACATTTTTAAAGCATAGGTACATCAGAGGAGCTGTTGGCGGCTTACCGTCGCGTCTGTGATGATCTCTGAGTCATGTCGCATCGTCCGTTTTGTTACGCCCGGTAGTTCAGCGGTGAGTCGCTGGCAATCTGGCTCACTGATTCAACCCCTCCGACGCCGGCGGGCTGTGTGGCGAATCACCTTTTACAAATGTTGGGTATTGATGGCGTCATTCAGCATATGTCGGTAGGCGCTAATACAGATATTTTTGATGATAACCTGTTTGTTTTCAGGGCGCTGGAATCAGATGAAATAGCTCCCATATAGGAGATAGTGAGGTTGTTGATGGTAGGTATCTGAAGAGTGTTGTTTCCCAACTCAGAATAATTGTAATGTGCCATCGATTGTACCTTTTACCGCAACCCTGTCGATACCTATATTAGAAGGCTTGCCTGAGTTACTAATAGTCTTTCATTTAGAGAAAAATATCTATCACTAATCAAAATCGTTAGGTATGCTGGTTCTGTTGCTCACCCCTTATCTACAGGCTACAGCATCGGCGCGGCGCACGTCTTGGTGATTCCTGCTCTGTTCCTCCTGTTTCGTTTTTTAGCCGTCAACCTTGAAATTTACCACTTTCCTAACAACTCAACAGGAAAAAATGGAACGCGATATTTGGGAAAAATGTATGTTTCCGAATTGTTTTATTTCTTCTTAAGCAGTTTGAGCAAAAATAGAAGTCATTTCTCATTTGAAACTACCCCAATTATAACGATATGATAGTGCCCGTTATTGGCAATGTAGGTGGCAGCACCGTCGACTGCGACCTTTTCGCTGTAATTTCGACCTGCCCGAGCCTCGTCAAATCGCATTTTTACGCAAAACCAACTGCAGGGCTAGTGTTTTGGCATGCTCCCGCCAATTTTTATCTTTGTCTAACGCGAATCTGTGAGAAAAACCCCTCTGTCGACACACCCTAGTTTCTACAGCGTTATTGGCCGCAATTTCCTTCACTCAATGAAGGAAACCATATCAGAGACAAGACTGTGAGTCCTGGTCAGGGGCGCCGCCACGGATTTTTGACTGGGGGGGACGGACTGACCGACTGAAAACCCTAAAATAGACATTCTTACCGTGGCTTTTTCGGTCCGACGTATTGAACGTTTAAAGCAAATATGCCACTTATAACATAGGGTTTTAAACTGAAGTAACAGTTTTGTAGCTTGAGCTGAGACAAGAATTAACAAATCAAGAGCTTTTATGGCCCAACGCTCAACCTAGCCAAAGATATCGGTATCGATTTTAGGTTTGAAGACTGAAGTCATTCCCATAGACTACACTTTGTCATTCCATTACCGAGGAATCCATCCCCTTACGGAAAAATGCTAGCCAATCAGCATTCAGCTGGTTTGAACTACGTAATACGAGTATGCTTGGTCAACGCGTAATCAGCTTCCGCTGCAATATAAGTAGCCTCTACGAAAGATGGAAAAGTTCTTATGTAAAAATAAAATAAAATCCTCTTTGCAAATATTCATTATGTTATTTTCTGACCATTTTAAGCATAAACACTCATAACTGTGGCAAAACAACTGGTTTGAGGAAAGTAGTTTAGGTATGGCTATAGACCGATTTCCCACCAAGTACCTACTTATATACGCATCCGATGTCCGATTCAATTTGAAACGGCAAAACCTCCAGTGCTCTATCAGGCTATAATTGCTGATGTATGCCACTAATCTGATCGGTAATGCACATTGCATAGGAAATGCATATTGCATACCCGCGTGGGGGAGGGGACGTTGTATAGTAACAATCTGTGTTTTTGGGTTGTGCATGAATCGCGAAAATTGGTAAAAAAACATCAGGCAAAACTGCTCCAAAATATGGATTTTGCAGCCCGTGTAACAAGCTTGATACCAGAAAACCTTAGGTCAGGTCACCAGGTGAAGTAGTCAAGTCGCCTCAAAGTTTTGTTGTCCTCTCAACCGTATAGCTTATTTCTTAGAAGCTGGAAATTTAGTGTCGTGCGGACTGCAGAACTGTGGGGTCGGAGCCGAAATCAGTCGGAGTTGATAGTTTTGGCTAGAGTCCGAGTTGAAGTCTTCGAAATTGTTCGGATTTTGACTTCGATGTCGGATTGGTTTAAAGTCATGCTCTCTTGGCTGGTTTGACGAAATATATTAGGCCCATTTTCGACCAGTCGTGTTATACGACACACATTGATCACGATCTCAAAAATCGGCAGTTCCGCGATAACAGGTCGGACAAGAGCTGGAGATTTTGTTGGCCGAGGTGTCAGGGGTCAGACCAATGCATGTAGGCCCACACGCCATATACTGAGTATGTAAACCTCCTGGACCCTCTCAGATTCGGCACCGTTCTATCTCTTCCATCCTCAGGACAGTCAAATCCTTTTCCTCCACGCCGCAACCCCCCTGCTCCGGGCTGGATGGGCAACTATCCCATGCGGAATGGCTCCACTGGAGCTATAGTCCTTTGCCGGGTGCAGTGAATGCCAGTGGGCTGGGCCGCCTGTTCAATTGGTCGGGTTCAGCCCAATTGTGGGTCACTGGGGTGGCTGCCCAGACCAATGTCTCCCACTAATTCTTTCATCCTTCCGGCTCTGAAATGGTCTCATTGGACAGACGGGCCTAAGCAAATTTCGGGTATGGATAACAACCAGTAAAACGCCTTTTGGGGCGACCAACGGAGCGAGCGAGAGGGTGGGCCTTGCACGTGCGAAATTGCAAGGGGGTACCTCCAACTAACTTGTGCACTGCACCCTACTAACCGGTCCCTAACGATGTGCCAAATTTGAGCGCAATCGGCCTAGCCGTTCTCGAGCTCTGGTCTGGAAGCGGCACCCTGCACGTGCGCACGTGCAAAATGGGTCCCAACTGACTTTTGCACGGTACCCTACTAACCGGTCCCTAACCATGTATCAAATTTCAGCATAATCGGTTCAGCCGTTCTCGAGATCTGGAATCGACCCCTGCACGTGCGCACGTGCAGCAGCACCCCAATTGTAGCAAATGAATATGCATTGCCTAGTGGGTACCTACCTATACATGCCAACTTTCTTTGCCAAAATTGTTACAAAACTGACACCTCTTCATTTTTTACGTGGCACGTGCATAAGGGGTCATGCACATGCATCGGGAATAGTCCAACACTTGTTAGAAGGTATAAAGCTACCCTACCGAAAATTATGGCATGTAATTCGGTCAAGTGGCTGCTGAGATATAAGCCTCGCAAAAGCGTGCCGGCCGCTCACACTCAGTAATTTCCGTTATCTACGAAAGACTAAGCTCGCTTCGCTCGCTCCGTAATGAGTTTGGGGGGGACGTCCCCCTTCCATTCTGAGAGTGGGGGGGACGCGTCCCCCCCGTCCCCCCCGGTGGCGGCGCCCATGGTCCTGGTGACAACATTTTGTTGAATACGAGGCGCGGGACAGCGAGCACTAAAAAGGTATAGGCAATACAGAATACTAAGACAATACTAGCACGGTGCAGGAGAATGCGTATACAAACGACCAACGCTTGACCTTATCTGCTTGGGGTCGGCATAGTTCGTCAAAGGCGTACTAGCTGGGGGCCAGGGTGACCGTGCCTCAGCCTCGGTTCAAACAGCCTGGGGGCCAGCAATGTCTGTTTCTGCCCCTCCCCCTTCCACTTTCAGTGCAGTGGCGGTCGCAGAGGGGGATCAGGGCCATGCCCTTCCCCCCTCCAAAGGCTAATCAGGGGGCCATCATATCATTTGGCCCCCCCAAACAACCAATGGGCCCCCATGGGCGTATGGGGCTCTGGCCCTTATTCGATTGTCACGAGACTCAAGAATCCCACGCTAGCTATTAACAGCTCCCAAACCAGTCTTTGAGGGTCCTACACTGATCTCGGAGGGCCCTTCAGTGGCGGTCAAGCGCCCACATTGACCGCTGAGAACCCACATTGACCTCATTTGAGGGCCCCTAAACCGGCCTCAAGGGCCCAGCCGGCGTCTGAGGGCCTCACACCGGCCTCTGGTGGCCTCATTTCTGTCTCTGGGGTCCCAAGACTAGTCTTTAGGTGCCTTTGAGGGCCCCGCACTGAATTCTGAAGACCCGATGCCGGCCTCTAAGGGTCCGCATCGGCCTCTGAGGGTCCACCTTGGCCTAAGGGGTCCAACGCCGGCCCATGCCGGTCTTTTAGGGCCCCACACTGACCTCTAAGGGCCCATGCTGACCTGTAAGGACACGCATTAGTCTCTGAGGGCCTTGCACGGGATTCTGAAGACCTGATGCCGGCCTCTGAGGCCCATCTTGGTTTTTGAGGGTCTTCTGCTGGCCTCTGGGGTCCAACACCGGCCCATGCCGGCATTTTAGGGTCCCACACTGACCTCTGAGGGCCCATACTGGCCTGTAAGGACCCACATTAGCCTCTGATGGCCCAAGTCGGCATCTTAAGGTCTCATCCTGCCCTTTGCAGGCCCTGTACTGGTCTCTGAGGGCCTTAACCCTCGCAGGCTGGGGGGGGGGGGCGGGTGCTGCCCCTCCATAGGTTTTTTTTGCGATAGCTCCGAACACGCCGGCGATAGAGAGCTGAAGCTTGGCATACCTGACCTTTGAATCAAACGGGATCTTTCGACACCAACCGCATTTTCGGGTCAGATCAGGTCACTGACCCATGTGGTCATAAGTGAACCTCTGCACGGTCTTCAGATGTCGCAACTTCGCAACGCCCTCACTGCCAGAGGAGATTTCACAGGGAAATGAACCTTGGAGGACCTAGTATCCAATAGGAGTCTCTCAACTTGTATAATGTATATCTCGGATTTTTCCTAAAGTTCATATGAGGTCAGGTCATTTTCGTGACCTCACCATTAGGTATACCTAAGTCAATGGGGATAAACTGAAAACTTTTTCTGGCGCCGGGAACGATCGATCTCCAACTATCTCAAGCACACCGAATCGTGATTTCATGCACTCCTTGCAAGGTTCGATGCGTCACTTTTGCAATGTTGACCTTGCGCGACGTCATTTATGAAGTTATAAGGGTCTTATTAGTTTTTCGTCAATAACTAGGTACCGATCAAATTGAGCTAGCGAGTCGGGAAAGCCACCTATGGACTCAAGAAGACCTGCCGAATCGAATGATATGCGACATGACCTCCTTCGATCAATTTCGTGACCTGGGGACGCCGACCTGACCGTGACCCGAGGTCAACACCCTAAATTTACCTCACCCAAACAAAAAGCATATCATTCGACGCGCCTGAGAGAGGCGAACACGATGCTGGCAAAATCGCGGCTCTGCGGCCATTTTTTGCGAAGTTATTCACCAAAAACGGAACCGTGCCTTGAGGCACTTGACCTGACCTCAGAGGTCACCGGTTTTTGTTTGTTTTGTTGGGTTAGGCCCTTTCGGTCCAATGAGACCATTTCAGAGCCGGAAGGATGATAGGATATAGGGGGAGACATTGGTCTGGGCACTGGGCAGGCACCCTAGTGAGTCGCCGGGGCTGAGCCCGTCCAGAGGACAGGCCACCCAGCCCCAAGGCACTCACTGCACTCGGCTACGGGGTGCGCTCCCTCGGGAGCAGCGGTGCCGCTCCAAGGGAGCAGACCGCATGAGATAAAGTTGCCTGTCCAGCCCGGAGGGGGGTGGCGGTGTGGAGGAGAAGGATTTCAGTATCCTGAGGATAGAAGCACGGAACGGTGTCAGAGGTCACCGGTTGACCTAGGACCATAAAATCGGGTATCGATCTCTGCGTCTCGTAACGGCGCACACGCTCGTTTTACCGCGACGCGCTAGCTCCACCTGGGGCGAAACAGCGAGGGGGGTCGTACCCGCCCCCCGCCCCCTCGGCCAGCGCGTATGTAGAAAACCTATAGGACCGGGCCGTGGAGGGTTAAACTGGCCTCTGAAGGCCCAGACCGTCTAAAAGTCCCACACCGGCCTCTGAAAAGTGATAGGCAATCAGCCCAGTTGCAGTGGTCGCTGATATAAAACCTCTTAAAAACGTTATAGGCCTGGCTGAGCCTAGCTGGGCCGTTCATGCTGATTTTTATAGGTATATTGAAAAGACTCGCTTTGCACGTTTCACGCTTGCTCGTAATGAAAAAGTTGCTGGATGCCTCTGGAATTTGCATGGGTGCCAACGGCTGCGGAGGACAGGGGAACGCGTCCATCAGTTTGAGTTTATGGACGGGAGACTCCCTGAAATTTCAACCAATTTTTTTCTTTTTTTTTGTCTCGATTTTTTTTACCTCTGAGCATGTTTGCGAAAACAAAGTGGCCGAAATCCGAGGAGAAATCGGATTTTGGGGGTAGGTTAGGTTTTGGACCTCTGGGACCCTGGCCCCCCCACTTTTGAAAACGTTCCTACGCCTATGCAGTACACAGTACAACACAGTACAGACACTTTGGGAAACGTTGGTGCAGGTGTGTAAGAGTGGCTATATGAATCCATTGTGGGGTCGCCCTTTCCAATAAGTGTCACGTAACAGCAATGGGACCAGGGACTCTATATGAACTGGACCCAGGGTGCTCGCCAAGAAGACCAATGTATCCATCCTATGATCCTTCCGGGTCTGAAATGGTCTTGTCAGACCGAAAGGGCATAACCCAACAAAACAAACCAGAGTAGCTAGATGGCTGCGTGGTGTAGTGGTTAGCGCAATAATCTCGCGTTCGACTGACACGGGGTTCGAATCCCATCGCCGGCTGATGCTTTTGGCGTGTTGTCCCAGTAAACATGCCGACGTCGGCGACTGGGGGGCTCGAATCCCGCCGCCGGTTGATATTTTTGGCGCGTTGTCCCAATAAACATGCCGACGTCGGCCCCGTCGGTCCAACGACAAACGATCTCCTCAACCTCGGCAAACGATCTCGGCCCGACGTCGGCTCGACGTCGGCTGGAGTTCGGCTGGACGTCGGAACATGCGGGCATATCCGACGTCCAGCCGATGTCGGGCCGAGGTTGAACCGACGTTGGGCCGACGTCGGGCCGAGCCTCGGCCCGACGTCGGGCCGACGTCGGCATGTTTACTGGGATAAACCTCATTGGTTACTGTATCGCCACTGCGCAAAGATTGGGCACCAGGTTTACATAGCTTTGGTGCCCACGTTTACATAGCCTTGATGCCCACGGTGCCCACGGTATATCGAGAACTTTTAGCTGCAGCCGGCGGCCAGAGCCTCAATAGTGAACAAGCCAAAAGTAGGCTTATCGTTTCCATCAATCTGTTAAAAAAAGTGTGTTTAAGCATGCAATAATTAAGGATAATAAGATGAAATCATTGTACCTAAATAGTTCTCAAGAGACTTTGACGCTAATTGTCTTTTCTCGCATTTTCAGATTACCTCTAGAAAACCCTCTAGAATCCGGCATTTTTCATAAACCTCCAGGAGCCCCGAAACGGTCCCCTAAAACCTCTAGATCTGGAGGTTTACCTCTAGACCTGGCAACACTGATACTACTCTTAGCGTTTGATGCTTGCAATGCTTGCGGGCCATATCAATATCAATTGATATCAATATGTCGTCAATGTAGCAATTTACGTGCCTGCAAGGAATAGGTCACATTTATTTTGGTAATTTTGTGGATATTTGTATTTGTATTGTCATCACTCATGTCATTTAAGTGTGATTTTCACAGGCAGATGTGAGTGTGAACACAATTAAGCTCTTTATGACTGATATCTGGTGAATCTGGTGAGTGGTTGGTTACTATTGTCATGGTTCTTCCGTGTTCTTTGCCTGCATGTCAGCATGCGGGCATGCTCATTGTTGCATATAGATATGTGCATGTGTGTGTGCCTGTTTGTCCATGCACTGTATGTTTCTGTCCATGTATGTGTGTGCTCATCTTCCCATGCGCTCTGCATACTGCATAGTGCATAGGTATTTAGCCGAGGGCTTAATGCTGCTAGACCACCTTTCGCTGCTTCCTGATCCTGATTGCCTGCGCGCATGACTTTGCCCTGACGGATGACTCATTTGCAGGTGCATGCTACTCACTTGCTTCTTCTAGAAGACAATACACTTGGCCATACAAGATTCATCTGTTGACCCTGCTTCTGCTAGGAGGGGAGAGGCTTTAGGGACATCAGGTCCCACTATGGATCCATTAAAGGCACTTAAAAGAATCTATTCTGCTAGCATTAAATTATTTACACCAAGCAAGTTTAAAAAAATAAAGTTCCATTGAAATTGTGGATATCTTTAGTGGTTGTGAGACGGCAGTGTAGACATGTTGTAGGTGAATTTACTGACCAGGTACATACCTTAAGCTTGAGGTTAAAGGTTCCTACCTATTTATTCATATGCTGCGCTTTTTTCTTATTAAATATTCAGTGTCTCAGTCCATCCATGGATGAACCTAATCCATGGTCTATCTTTAGCTGCTGGTATTGTCAGATATTTATTGCATATATTAAATATTGCAGGAGATTTCATGTGACAAGTTTTTTAGGGGGATTTTGAATGAGATTTGTTGATGCTCATCCACTTTGTCAATACACTCAATCTGCCTGAACCCATATTTTCCTCACTTCCTGACTATTTTTTTTTTTCAGAAGAAATGGCCAAAGCAAAGAAACCTGTGAAGAGGGCTGCTGGCCAGGCAGAAAAAGTCACCAGCATTAAAACAAAGGATGGAAGGCTGAACCCCTTTGAAATCCATTTTAATAAGCAGAAACATTCTGTCCTTGGCCAGCATCTCCCTGGAGAAAGGGGAAAACCAGGAATCTCCAAAGCAAAGGCTCTAAAGAAGGTTGGTGGAAAACTTGTTATGCGCTCACTTATTTTTAGATGAAATGTTTATTGCAAAATAAATAAAACTGATTTTACTCATAAAAATGCAACAACTATTTGCGAAAAATCAGTTTAAAATATCTGTAAATATTATAAAAGATAAAAGGTGGCCATATTTTGTGTTTTCTTCAAGGTTTAAGCTCACCATCTGACTACCGACTAATGTATATGCCCTTTCCCTTGTCTAGCGCAAGCTGACACTTTTGCGTGAGCTGAAGACCAGAACCAAGTCCAATGAATTTGTCGACCGCCGTATCGGAGAGAAGACGAAGGGCATGTCCGCGGAAGATCGACTGGCGGCAAGATTTGCTGCCGAACGGAAAAAGCAAAATAAGCAGGTCAGTGTGATAATGCATCGTATTCGCAACAATGAAAAGCTTATTCGCTTAGGTTCAAACTTAAAAGTAGTCGTCACTCAAGCAAACCAAATCTATGTTGTTGCGTATTTCCTAATGTTGGAACTTCTTACTTATTAGATATGATCAATTCAACTCATTTAATTCATTTTTGTATTAATCTATAGCTTGGTGTTTAGATGAAACATAGTTATTTGTTTTTACGCGTGAGTAAAATTACCTGCCAGCGTGGTGCCCGGTATTACGCCCCCTGTGAGTTCACGCGCTGACCGCCGCGCCGTCTGTCCCGTAGACACTGTTTAACCTGGAGGACAACACCGAGCTGACGCACATGGGACAGACGCTGAGTGAGATCGAGAAGTACGAGGACCCGCGCAGCGACGACGAAGGGGACGACGCTCTGGGAGGTACGGTCGGCACCGGAGGGGCAGTGCCGGAGGGAGAGATATCTCGAGAGGGAAGATCGGCACTGGAGGCTGTCACGTTGTTAAGTGTTGTTGCGAGCGGAGACCGAGCTAAGGCCCAGACTGCAGCGTGCCGTAATTTATAGATGCGTCATTACATTGCACATTGTTTTTTATCATTGTTTTTTACATTGCACATTGTTTTTTATCATGTCATGATAATGTGAATTGATAATTAGCTCACTTAAGATTGCTTCATCATGATGTGGTCACGTCATACTGGTGTTTGATTTGGCGAACTCCCTGACCCGAGCGTGTCTCTGCCCTCGACAGCCGAGTTTGTGAAGTCTGCTCACTTTGGCGGCGGCCTGCTGTCCAAGGGCGGCTCCGAGCCGGCGCAGAGTCGCAAAGAGTGGATCGACAAGATGATCGCCGAGAGCAAGCTGCGCAAGTACGAGGCGAGGAAGGCGCTGGAGGAGACCCTGGAGATGACTGACCAGCTCGACGGCGGCTTCATGGAAGTGATGAAGATCTTCACCGAGGCCAAGGTTATACGTGAGTATACGCTGGAGAAAAGGGTGGACTAGCCTAAGCAGCATCGGCAAGGATCAACTGGGTGCTGATGTTGTGTAAACAGAGTCGGTTGGTTTTGCGACTTTGTTCTTGGTTCGGTGTATCGGATTTTACTTGAACATGTGGAAGATTTTCACGATAAAAACAAGTATTTGTATCGTTTTATGCCTGTTCACAACAATTATAAGCCTCTATTATGACTTTCAGGTCCCACTCGGAGGGAGGAGCGCGAGCGCCAGTCGAGTCCCGTTCCCGCGTCCGGCGAGTCCGCCGCCTCGGCGCCAGCCCCCAGCGAGGACTACGATCAGCTGGTGCGTCTGCTGACGTTCGAGCCGCGCGTCGGCGCCTCGGACCGCACCAAGACGGACGAGGAGGTGCGCCGAGAGGAGGCCGCCCGGCTGCGGCAGCTGGAGGAGGCCCGCCAGCAGCGCATGCGCGCCGACACGGAGGAGGGCGGCGCGCGGCCGGCCGTGCACCGCAGCGCCGACGACCTGGACGACGGCTTCGTGCTGGACAGCCGGCCGCAGCAGCGGCTCGAGCTGGTCGGCGACCAGCTGCTGGTGACGTCACAGGCAGCCGACGAGCCGCTCACCAACCGGCAGGCCAAGAAGCGCCAGCAGAAGCTGCAGAAGCAGCGGGAGGCTGCGGAGGAGGCGGAGGGCGAGGAGGGAGAGGCCACCTCCGACCGGCCGCCCTCCGTCAAACTACCTGGCTTCAAGAAGTTCAGCGCGACTCTGCGCGCCAAACTGCCGCTGGATCAGTCGCGCCACGTCGCTGATTTGGTGACCTCCTTGGCCCCGAACCTGTCGCCGGCCAATCGGGCGCAGCTGGTGACGCTGTACGAGATGCTGCTCCGCTACCTGGGACAGTGCTGCCACCGTTCGGGCGGTTCAGGAAACACTGGTGAGGCCGGCTGCGGCGCGGTGGCGCTGCGCGCGCTGGACGCGCTCGTGCCGGTCGTGTACGATCTGACTCAGCAGCTGGGCGACGCGGCGCACCGCTGCTGGGTGTTGTGGCTGCGCGACTGTCACGCGGCGTACCGGCGGCGGCGGCGGCGGCTCTTCCCGCGGCTGGAGACGCTGCTGCTGCTGCGCGTCTGCGGCCAGCTGTTCCCGAGCTCGGACCGCCGCCACCCGGTCACCATGCCGGCCATGTTACTGCTCTGCCAGCTGCTCACCGAGTGCCCGGTCCGCTGCCGGCGGGAGCTCACCGCCGGCCTCTTCTGCGTCTCGCTGCTGGCTGAGGTGGGTTAAATCGATCAGTGCGGCGGTCTCCATCCTCTTATTGATGAGTGCGTTAGTTATTAGGACGGACCTAACCTCACCCTTTTGTACTCTGCGGCGGTCGGGTAGTTTCTGATGTTGATAACCCCATGTCATTCTGTTTATAGTTCGTTTTGAATTACGATGCCTGACGCCGCTCGCTGAGCTCTGACCGGCCCCCGCCTGGTTCCGCCGCGCAGTTCACCAGCCTGTCGGGCCGCCTGGTACCGGAGACGATCGCCTTCCTGCAGGGAGTGCTGTACTCTGCGGTACCCACCGAGCGACAGCCGGCCCTCGCCGGACACGTGCTGCTGCCGCACCAGCCGCAGGGGCCGAGCGCCGCGCTACTGCACCTCGAGACAAAGTGAGACCCCGCTATGTGCTGGAGTGAGACGTCAAGCCCCCAGCTTCCCCGGTGATACTTTCCCAAAGCCGCCCGGCACTCTGTAGCCGTCTATGGATTGACGGCCATTGCGTTTAGTTCAGCTTCTTCGAGCCCCCATTCGCCCCTGTTTGACCAATAACCACTACGACTCGTGTCCCGCTATGACCCAGTTTTGACCCTGCTGTGCCGGCCGCCGGCAGTTGCTCCGAGTCTCTGTGCGACCCTGTGTTCTCCTAGGTGACCTCTGACGCACTGTGACCTCTGTGACCCTATCTGACCGGCTGTGCCGGCCGGCAGCTGCTCCGAGTCGCCGTGCGACCCGGCTCTCTCGGTGTCCTCTGTGCAGAGTGACGCGCCTCTGACCGACTCGGACCGGCTCTCGTGTCTGCACGTGGCCGCCTCGCTGGCCGGCCAGCTGGCGGAGAGGCACAGCGCGCTGCCGGCCGCCGCCGAGCTGTTCGGGCCGCTCCGGCAACTGATGGCCGCCGTGGATGTCAGGAGGTGAGCCAGGGAGCGGGAACGGAACGGAACGGAACGGAACGGAACGGAACGGAACGGAACGGAACGGAACGGAACGGAACGGAACGGAACGGAACGGAACGGAACGGAACGGAACGGAACGGAACGGAACGGAACGGAACGGAACGGAACGGAACGGAACGGAACGGAACGGAACGGAACGGAACGGAACGGAACGGAACGGAACGGAACGGAACGGAACGGAACGGAACGGAACGGAACGGAACGGGACGGAACGGGACGGGACGGGACGGGACGGGACGGGACGGGACGGGACGGGAGTGGGACGGGACGGGACGGGACTGGTGGTAAGAGGAAGACGTTAGACGATGGACTGTGTGCAGTGCACCGGTAATGTAGAGCAATACGTGTTAAACACTGAAAGTGTATGGGAGGAAAAGGCTCACAGGGCCACTTATGATGGCATTATCACCACAGAATGACTTGATAAGATTTATTCAAGGTGTCAACCTTGAGCAACTAGAATACTGGCCATCCTACCACATTTCCCGGACACATTGACCCATAAGCAGTGTTTTTCCAACGCGCTGCTGTGTCTGTCCTATCCAGATGACCACGGCCTGTCGTCCTTCCGTGCCAGGTACCCGGCTATTCTGCGCAACAAGTGGACGGCCTGTCTGAAGACGCTGAGCGCCATCAGCGCCGAGAAAACCACACTAGAGAAGAACAAAAAGCGCCCCAAGCCGCTCCGGCTCTACGAGCCAGCCATCGAGGAAAAGTGAGTGGTGATGTCAACGAGCTATCCTCTTTTTATTTTATACAGACTTGTGTCCTGAATATTCATTTCTTGCTAAAATTGCTTTGTTGATTTATTGTTATCATACTAGACTTTTGTACCTCTAACTGCTCTTTTAAGTTACCAGTAAAACGCCTTTTGGGCGAAGAACGAGAGAGCGATATAGTGAGCCCTGCACGTGCGGAAGGGCGAGAGGGTACTTCGTACGGGCTTGTGCAAAGCACCCTTCTAACCGGTCGCTAGCGGTGTGCCAAATTTGAACGCAATCGGCCCAGCCGATCCTGAGATCTGGAAGCGGCATTCTGAACGTGCGCACGTGCAAACGGGGTCCAAAATGACTTTTGCACGGCACCCTACTAACCGGTCCCCAACCGTGTACCAAATTTGAGCGCAATCGGCCTAGCCGTTCTCGAGATCTGGAAACGCCCCCTGCACGTGCGCACGTGCAGTAGCGCCCTAACCGCAACACATGGGAATGCATTGCCTGGTGGGTGCCTAACTGTATGCCAAGTTTCAGCGAAATCGCCCCAGTAATTACCGAATTACTGAAATGGGAACAAATTTGGCACCTCTTCTTTTTACATTTTGCACGTGCAGTGGGGGTCACTCACATAGATCAAGAGACCTTTGGTAGAAAGGATGCAGCTACCCTACAAAAATTACCGCAAGACAATCGCCCAAGCGGCTGCTGAGATATGAGCCTCTCAAAATCACTACTTTTGCAAAACAGCTTGAACACCCTTGACTTTTCACGTGGCACGTGCCACGACGGTCACCGAGATGTATCAAAAGTAGTCAATTACGGGGTAGAAGGGATGGGGCTACCCAGCAAAAAAAGATCGCAGGCCAATCGTTCCAGCGGTTGCTGAGATATAAGCCTCTCAAAAGCGTTACAGGCCGGGCCGGGCGGGGCCGGGCCGGGCCGGGCCGAGATTTTTCCGTTATATTGAAAAGACTTCGCTTCACTCGCTGCGCTCGCTCGCTCGTAACCAAACATAAAACGTCTTTCCAGGCACCATTGAAAAACGCGTTCATTTAAAGTGACCATCCCACCTTAACATTAGATTTGAGTTGAGATAGCCAAAATGGGGTCCCTGGCTTGCACTTACCGGTTTGAGCACTCACAAGATCGAGAAATGCCTCAAATCGAAAATATCTAATTTCAAAGTTGCAGCACTTGGATTCAGAGTGGCTAATGCATTAGAATGTGTGAGAATTAGAATGTCTGAATGTGTGACGTCAGCGCAGATCTAACGATTTGAAATCTTTTACTAAAACGTTTGGTAGCACGCGGTGGTATATGCTGCTTTGCGCGCAACAAGTGCCGCACTTTCACTTAGAGTCGCTGGGAACAGCGGAGATCCCAAAAAGTAAGCAAAAGTAAAAGTCTAATATCTTGATAACCGGTCAATATTTTCCGATGAAATTTGGTAGATATTCGTTTTCGCTCTTTCTGAACCGAGCGACATCACTTTCATGCCATTTCATTAACTTTTTTGAATGTGGGAGGGTCCCTTTAATTAAAGTTTAGTTAGGTACAAGCTTTTTTATCTGTTCATCGTTCCCGCCTTTAGTCTCGATCTCCAACGGTGTGGTATTATCTTTTCACACTCCTTGATTTATCGATTTGACCTGACCTGACCTGGCTGACGTTACGTTTTTCTTTTGTCAGTTTCGACGGCCGCCGGCGCCGCCCGGGCTCCCACGAGAAGAAGGAGCACGACAAGCTGGTGCACAAGTACAAGCGTCAGATGCGCTCCACGATTCGGGAGGTGCGCCGCGACAACGCGTTCGTGGCGCGCCAGAAACTGGCCGACATAAAGTCCAGGTGAGCAGACTGGGCCGGGTTCAGTTCAAGTTCAATGTCGGTTTAGATGGCCATATCGAATTATAACAATATCTGCGACATTAGCAACTTCGCTGGCGATAGCGCTAATCGCTATACCATTTTCATGTCCCTGTTGTAACTGTGTTGGGCCTGTCAGAATGGCCGAGTGGTCTAAGGCGCCAGACTCAAGGTTTCCCTTCCCGCCGGTAGCGGGAGAGTATTCTGGTCCGCGAATGCGGGCGTGGGTTCGAACCCCACTTCTGACAAACATTTTTCCGTTGGCGCTGCTGAAGCCCGAACACCCAGTTTCCACCTGCACTGCAGGGTTTTACACGCTTTACAAAGCTCTTGTATGCTGTCATTGAATCCGTGTTGAATCCTTGACGGAATTTCTACCTGTTATTGCAGAGACGACGAGCGCAAGAGGAAGTTGCAGGCGCTGATGTCCTCCTTGGCCGATCAAGAGGGCGACTTCAAGAGAATGAAGCGACAAAAGTAGGCGCTGCCACTATGCCAACCATGCCTGCCTCTGCTCTGCGATGTTGGAATGCAATATATGACCGAATAAGCAAGTATTTATATTGTAATTTTAAGTAACTTGTTGAAATTCCGCTGATACAAACGTAAGTTTTCTCCTGACGCTATTCCCGGGCGTCGCTTTTTTTTTCCTCGCAGACCTTTTATCCATGTATGACGCTTGAGCTCTTCGTCCTCGGTTGGGATTTTCATATTTTGGTGCCTATTAAATCTTTTACCTGTCACTGATATAAAGCCCTTTTCCTATTGGCACAACGTCTTTGGTGTCCAATGGCTTCTAATAAAATTGGTGAACGAGTGTATAGAAGAATAACTCGCGCCGAGCTGGGGAGGGGGGGGGGTGTTTGAACACCCCTCACGGTTTTTCGCAGATGCGCCGCCGTTTTTGGCACACCTGTTCATGCATCCTTTCCGCACATGTGAAAATTTCAGACCCAGGGCTCTCAAGGTCAGGTCACCAGGCCACGTCAAATGACCTCACCCCAGAAAAGTTTTAATCCTCGTCATAGCTACACCGACTGAACGATCGCCTTAAAACTTTCAGCCATTGATAAAAGTAACAGTATGTACAAAATGGATATCTCGGAATTTTAATATCGATGACCTAAGGTCAGGTCAATTTGCGACCTTTCCGTTATAAGTCAAAGAAAGAAAATTGAAATGCGTGTCGTTTGGAGGAATGGTGTTCAAAACCCTCTCAAACATCGGCTCACAGGTAAACATGACACTGAATCGGAAAAATGCACCTGTGACCCCTCTGTGTGCCCCTGAGGTCAGCTCAGGTCATTAACGGTCGCCAGCAGTTTTTTTTTTTGCTATAACTTTTGATAAGAGACGTTCTAGAGCGGCGAAAACACATCATATGTATTCAGCTAGACGACACGGATCGACTGATATTGATATGCAACATGATCCTTTACGGTCAGGTCATGACCTTGATCTGAGGTCAAATTTTTAAAATGACCTTTTTATGTTAACGAATAGTTCATTCAACGCGAATCGACGAGAGGAACACGATGCTTGAAAAAATGTTATCATGGCTTGCTTGAATAAAAAGTTATTGCCGAAAACCCTTTTTCGTGAAAACGGCTATTTTGAGAGTTTTTGCCCTCTGGAGGCTAAACCGTTGACCTGAGGTCAAACCTGAGAGCATTACTCAGAAAGGTCTGTAAAAGGGCCATCGAATGCGCTTTTCCGCGGCGCTGTAGCTCTATTGGTTCCCGAATTAGCCGTTGGCAGTTTAAAAAATTATTGAAATGGACTACATTTGACCTTTGATGACCTCTGGCGACCTGACTTTTGACCTGACCCAAAAATGACCCAGTGTTTCCGTCATTATTTTGGACGCTCTCTCGAATGTCGCTTACCGCGTGTCGCTACGTGGCCCAAGAACCGAGTTAGACGGGGGGTATTCAGACACCCCCTCCCCCGGCCCGGCGCGGAAGTCGCGGAGCACCGGGCGGGCGCGGGATAATATATAATTGTATAATCCCAGTTATTATCCCGTCTCCCAAAGTTTTTCGATATAAGACTTGCGTTACCACTCTCACATGAATTTCACTCAGGGTTGAATTTCATTCAACCCATGATTGTGAATACGGCCAAGGGTGACAAACTTATATTTCAAAAAGTCATGATTGATCAACAGGCATTGTATGTACGTGGAACACGCAATACCCCGCGCCCCGCTGCCCTGGATTTCTACGCTCTGCTGGGGGAGGGGATAAACTCTTTTAAAACTTGTCCTCTGGGCCACGTAGCGGCAAGCGGTAGGCGGCTCCGAAAGAGCATAGAAAATAATGGCGAAACTTCTTCAATTTTTTTTCTAAGCTTAGGTCATCGGAGGTAATCAAAAGTCAAATTCTGTATATTTCGACATTTTTTTTTTGACAAATCGGCGCACGTTCAGGGAACGAAGAGCTACAGCGCTGCGGAAAGTGCATTGGATAGCTCTTTCTGGATGATGTTCTCAGATTTCACCTTAGCTCAAGACTCAAGGGGACCCAGAGGGCAAAAGCTGCCAAAACTGACTGTTTTTGCGGAAACTGTTTTTCTGCAATAACTTTTGACTCCGAAACTTGCACGGACTTACTATTACCAGCTTTGCGTTCCTCTCGTCGAGTCGCGTTCAATAAACTGAAATTTGACCTTTAAAGATCCACTTTAAAATTTGACTGGTCAAGATCATGACCTGACCGAAAAAAGTCATGCTGCATGTCAGTCGATCCGTATCGTTGAGCTGGACATCTCAAAGGTGCTTTGCTCTAGTACGTCTCCATCAAAAGTTATAATAGAAAAAAACTGCTACGGACCTTTTGTGACCTGAGATGGCCTTACGGATATAAAGAAGAGTCACGAGTGCAATTTTTTCGATTCAGTACCTGTTTTATCTGTACCCAGATGTTTTGAGAGTGATTCTTATATGACTTACGTCTAAAATAACCGCAATTAAGTTTTCTCCCATTGACTTTACAATGGAGATGTCGTAAAACTGGTCTGACCTTAGGTCACCGATATCAAAACTATGAGATATAGGTACATTTTACAAATACTATTGTCCTTAGCAATCGTTGAAACTTTCCGAAAGTGATCGGCCAGTCGGTGTAGCAAGGACACGCATCGGAGCTTTTTTGAGGTAGGGTCACTCGACGTGACCTGGTGACCTGACTTTGAAAAACCTGGATCTGAAATTTTCACAATATGTGCAGATAAATGCATTATTCGCGTCGCCGTTTTTAGCCATTCGCAAAAGAATAAAAAGGGCGTTCAAACTCAAAAACATCCTTCCTCCCCCAACAGGACCCGGGATATAACACAAATTTGTCAGAGAAACGCTGAATGTTTTTTTTTTTTTTAGTTGGAGTGGTTACGTTATCGGAGATCAGAGGGGATGTGAAAATATTCCCTAATCCATTCATCGACAGGTACTAGTGGTAGCGAATAAAAATATGAGCAATTACAGCAGGTGAGGCTTGTGATGATCGACACACGTGTAACCAATTTGTGTCTACTTGTAGACGCATACATTTTATTTATATTTGTCCCTTAGATGCGAACCATCATTGATACCCTGTCTACGCTTCTTCATAAGGTCGAGCTAAATGACACGAAGTTTTCTTCTGGCGCCCGGTTTCCAAATGAGCTTGATAGTTAGACTCAAAAAGCATCGATTCTTTGACAGTTTTATCAGTTTCGGGTTTCCTTGTCCCTATTTATGATTATCGCCCCGTATTTCAAACAACGGAAATAATCTGAACCACACGTAACTGAGAGTTACAGCAGATACAATAAAATGACGATCAACCAACAACACAGTACCGAGGCCTTTACAGCATGCGCACATCGCACATGGGCATACACACTGACACACGGCACAAAACTCCACCATGCCTGACAACACTCGCGCTGATACAACACAGTCGCCAACACATGGCGATACATTTGTTCATTCGCCTTAGATTCGAATTATTAAGACAGCCGGGACCTGCGCATTGTCTACCTACTTATTCCCTGAATTCAGGTGGTAGCGCCAGGGCTGCGGAGTCGGAGTCGGAGTCGGAGTCGGAGTCGGTCGGAGTCGACAGTTGTGACCGGAGTCGGAGTCGGAGTCGAAGTCGATATTGGAAACCCCAGCCGGAGTCGGAGTCGGAGTCACCGAAAATCTGTCGACTCCGCAGCCCTGCCAGGTGTGCGGAGTCGGAGTCGGGAGTTGGAGTCGATCGGAGTCGACATTTCTGCCCGGAGTCGGAGTCGGAGTTGGTTTTTGAAAGCCGGAGTCGGAGTCGAAGTCGCCGTAAATCCATCGACTCCGCAGCCCTGGGTAGCGCAGTTGATTATTGTCCCCAATTGGCTGCATACTTATCCTCTTCCGAAGAAAAGCTGCCAACAGACACAACTGGCGACCGCTCCGGCAGGGTCAACCCTGACCTGACCTGCCGGGACCTGTCGAGGTCCCGGCAGGTCAGGTCAGGTCAGGTCTCTGCTAATCCCGGTCGTCGGTGTCTGCGGCGGGCGGCAGCGGCCGCAGGGGTCAGGTCTGGTCGTGTCAAGTCACTGCTCGTCCCGATCGTCCGGTTCAGCGGCCGGCGGCAGCGGCCGCAGGGGGTGCCAGCCGGGCGGCGGCAGCAGGCCCAGCGGCGCTCCGTACAGAGGTGGTGCCGGTAGCGGCCGAGAGAGCAGTGCCTCGACTGAAAATGGCGAGAGCCGCGGCTGATGGGCCGGTGGGGGCGGCGGCGGCGGCGGCGGCGGCTGGCACAGCGGCGCGAACGCCGACCGCTGCCCGGCGACGAGCAGCGGCGCGCCGGCGGCGGAGGTGGTGACGCAGCCGGCCTGCAGCGGCCGCAGCAGCTGCTGCCGCACCCGGCTGCCCGAGCCGATAAAGTGCTCGATGGTCTTGACGAGGTCGCCGCAGCAGGCCTCGAGCCGCTCCTCCAGCACGGATGCCTTCTGCGAGGGGAAGATGCGCCGCAGGATCTGCATGTGGCCGAACCAGGCGGCCGCTGAGCGCTCGGCCGGCTCGCCAGAGTCGCCCGAGTCGTCGGCGGGAGGAGCTCGTGACTCCTCGTCACTGGCAGCTGACTCCTCCGTCTCTGGAGAGACAGAGACAGCGGACGCATTAGTATAGTGCACGACACGGATGCAGTAGCCGATTCTATTAATCATTCGTTGATCTGAGGGCTCACCATTTTGCGGAGGAGAGAACGTTATCAGCTATCCAATCTGTGGGCTGTGGTGAGCCGCCGGACCCCCGAGGCCCGAGGACGAGTGTTCTCCATCACTCACCCTGTATTTTCTCACTAGTCTAGACTTACAAAACCTTGTAAGCAGGATCACTGAACTTTTAATGTCCAGCTGTCACTTATTTATGATGAATCAAATTATGATGAAGACTTCACATTGGGACTATTTCTATCTTTGGCGAAACGCATCGAAAGACGTTTTTGCATCAAAATTGGAACCTTCCTAGTTGTCAGGAATGGGAAACATAACGGTTAATCGGTCATTAGCGGTATTCTGGCTGACCAAGAACCCACGCAATCAGCTAGTTACACCAATCGTGAACGCTGCCGTAAAGACCGTGCGCCCTGACGGATTTACGTAAAACCGGGTAATGCGGGCCAGTCTATCTTCAGGCGTTTACATGTGGTGCCATCTATGGCGAAAGCTGAAACCACACATTTGACTTGTGCTCACCAGGGAGTCTTGCGGTGCAGTATATGTAAGTACACTGTACAGGCGCCCGCTGCTTATTTACAAAGGGCAAAACAAGACAGCCGGCAGATGCAATTTACCATTTTATCAAAATATTTACCGTTAAAATCCTATTTACCGTATCAGCCCGACCCCGAAATTACCAGCAGGTGTTACAGTCAGTCGGTACTTCGGTTTCCTGAGACTGAAACTGGACCCGGCACTGGCTGGTGATCCCTCACCCTGCCGGCTCCTCGCCACCGGCCGGTGGATAGACATTATAGTGCTCCGCTCTGCCTCTGCCGCGGACCACTGACTGCGCCGCGTCACCTCTCGCTATTATGATATGAGCGTGACAAGCCGCCGCTTGTGTCAACACTGCTCTGGTCGCGGCACTGGTGCTGTGTCGCCTCTGGTGTGCGGACCGGCCGCTGACAGGGGAGGGGACGTGTGACCACACACCGGACGGCATACACTCACAGATTGGAAAAATGGACACCCCGCCGCAGCTACCCCCTGACTGCTGAATGTGGCCCCGGCACATGGTACACCGTAACCGGATTTCGACGGCAGAACGTCGCTGGCACTGACGACGTGACCAGAGAGATAATATCATTGCGTCGCTATGATTTAATCGGGATTTAATTACCCATGCATTCGGATGGAATAAAACGGCTGTCTCAATTTTCATACGCTCAGCCTGGGCAGTCACACGGGCAAACGCATTCACATTGACTCCGCCTGTACTGTTCACCAGGTGGTCTCGTAATATTTTAGGAGTACATACCTGAAGTTTAAGGAATAGGGCAACTATCTGCTGCAGGTGCAAGAAGGTCATGCCAAAACGCGTCCGTGAGTTTCGAGAGTTTGAGAAATCTTTTCTTGCCTATTTTATTTCTAAATCAGAATAGGCTACACATATGGGTTACCGATCCATGTTCGTGTTTTCTATTTGCATAAGCCCAGATATCCATTACAGTTGTCCGAAAACTCGTCCGGCGGCGTCCCCCACTGCTCTGTTATTAGACTCGGTGCACACCACAAACCTCAGCCCGTTGGTGTCGCGGGGTGCCGGGGGCGGGGAGCGGGGGATGTTTTCTCTGCGGTAACAGTAGCCGGCCACCGGGACACGCTCTGGTGCCGTCCGATTACCAAATACCGGCCCTGCAAACAGGCTGTCACTCAGCGCGGCGCGGCCGGCAGCACCGTCCCCCTCTGTCGGGGCCGCTACTACCCCGCCGAGCCGGTCATAATACTAGCACCGCACCCGCTCAGTTACCTAACTAAACACACAGGTGGATTCTGAAGGGTGGTTTTGAGCTTATAAGAGGGTGGATGCCCTTAAAGTTCTCTGAAAATCCATTGGGCTGCTCGGATTTTGCTTGCTAAGGCTCTACAGTGCCGTTTATGTCTTGCTTTTTTTTATACAATTTGATGTTTTTTTCTCTTCGCCCAGAATAAAAGATTCCCAAAAATTTGGACGACACTAAAGGCGGAGAACATTTAGCCCTGATATCTACCGAGTTAGACCCACCAACAGGTACCAGTACCAGTATATGTATTATCGTTTATTTACCGTTGGTCCCAATTGAATGATGTTTGCCAATTAGCTATTCTATATGCAGTATAAGGACACCTAAGGATCAAAATAGAATGGCCAAAGTGTGGCTATCATTACATGTGCGAGCAAGTGCATCTAAAGAAAGGATATTCACCGATCTAACAAATATGCGCCCCAGCTCTCAGCTAATCTCAACGGGGCTCCAAGCTTTCAGCTGTGTTCGACTCTAGGCCGCCTGGCTCCCGCCTGCACTGACCGTGGTCGGTGGCGGTCTGGTCGGCCGCCTGAGACTGCGTCATGTTCATCCCGAAGATGGGTCCCGGGGGCAGGTAGGCGCACGAGGAGCCGGTGGCCACTGCTCGCAGGCCCATAGCGATGGCGTCCTCGGCCGCCTGCTGCCGCTTCAGGGCTACCTGCGGTCGAACGGAGACGGTGAGACAACGAGACAACGGACCGCTCCACTCATAGCCATCGGCCGCAGGACCGGGAGACAGTGAGACGGCAGAGACAACAGTCGGAGAGGAAACTGAGATACCTAATAGAAACACAGACCGCTTGAGAGCGACCTGCGGCTGCACGGAGACGGCAGAAACACGGAGAAATGGAGGGCGAAGTCATGGATCACACTTTCTTTACAGTGCTTCAGAGACGCAACAGACATATAAGTTCATCACTTTTCACCCACACCGTCTCACCTGGGCGGCCATCACGCGCTGCCGTTCGGCGATGAGACTGCACTTGGCACACGCGCAGTCCTTGAAGCGACAGTGTCGCTTGTGGCCCTTGAGCCACGAGATGACGCCGTGGTTGCGGCAGCGGGCGCACTTTGGCTTTCGCGCGCCCTTCTCCGTGGTCGGGTAGGCCAGTGGCTGCCGCTCCATAACGGGGATGTCGAGCTGTGAAACGCGCGGTCGACGGTACCGGCTCGAGTCTGAGAAGGAGAGGGAAATTAGTGGTCACCGCTGCATGCTATCCCATTGCGCGAATACGTTAACATTTCGTGAAAGGATAATGCATAAAAACAATATGTTTTACAATGGCCGTTGCAGTAAAATTTTATTGATTTTTTTTAACAATGATGCAAAGGGATCCGCAAGGATACTGTATTTCAGGTTTGTGTGCTATGGTAAATCGTACTTAGATTCCATGGAAAGCTAAAAAGAAAAAATTGTAACTAAATCTCGAAGTTTGGCTGACAGCAATAAATCAATTTATTTAACAAGCCTGAGTGAGCGTCACGCATAACCTAAATTAATGTTTGCAATAATAAACTGAGTATATTAAGTTCCCATAATCCGAAAACCTGATGCTATAGAGCAAAGAAGTTATTGCATTGCACTTCAACTAATCGGCAACTCACAAATAGCTATGCATGCACAAGACAAAAAAATGCATCTACCTATATAATTACATGTAATATGTATCAGTCTAAACATAGAAAATGTGTCCTATCCTAAGACGATTTTATAATTTTTTTACGACGATGCTTCGCAAAACCACCTCTAAAAATGATAGGGCAAAAAGAGGCCATAGGGAAGGCTACACAAAAGTGGATAAGTCGAACAGCAGTCGTGTGTGTCCACTCACCGCTGCGTGGCCGTCCCCCGGACTGAGCGCGCACCGGCCGCCGGCTCCCGTCCCCGAGCAGCCGCGTTCCCTGTCGGCACCGACGCGTCGACTGCGACGGACACAGAGTGTCGGCGGCGATGAACCGTGCGACGCCGCGACGACCGCCTCCGCGTCGGCACCAGCGATGGACGGGATGGGGTGCCTACCGGACCAGGGGTGGAGGCTGCTGAATGACATGCGCATGTCTCGTGGTGGATCGGATTAGGTATATTTGCTATCCGATTACTTCAACACTTTTTCACTGGTGGGCATTTGGAGGAAACGCCCTCCCCCGCCGTGCCCGAAATCGACGAAAATTTTCGTTTTTCGAGAGCAAAAAGAAAACTTAACAACTTTTACTAAGAAAGGGCTCTTGTGGAAGGCTGTTGTTGAAAGGATTGAAAGGAAGCACTGCACAGCAGTGCCAGGGGCGGATCCAAGGGGGGGGTCACATGGGTCATGGCCCCCCCTTGAGGCCCGGGGGCCCAAAGACCTTCCAGGGGCACCACCGGCCTATCAGGGGTATCACAGTCCTGACAGGGGCACCACAGGACCGCCAGGGGCACCACAGGCCTAGCAGGGACACCACGGGCCTGGTGCCCCTGGGCCCAGACAGGACTGTAACGCCCCTGACAAGCCTGAAGTGTCCCCGGCAGGCACGTGGTGCCCCTGACAGGCCTGAGGCGCCCCTGCAAGGCCGGTGGTGCCCCTGGCAGGCCTGTGGTGTCCATGGCAGGCCTGTGGTGCCCTTGCTAGGCCTCTGGTGCCCCTGACAGGCTTGTAATGCCCCTGGAAGGACTGTGGTGTCCCTGGGCCCTGACAAGCCTGAGGTGCCCCTGACAGGCCAGAGGTGCCCTTGCTAGGCCTGTGGTGCCCCTGGCAGGCCTCTGGTGCCCCTGACAGGCTTGCGGTGCCCTTGGAAGGACTGTGGTGTCCCTGGGCCCTGACAAGCCTGAGGTGCCCCTGACAGGCCCGTGGTGCCCTTGTTAGGCCTGTGGTGCCCCTGGCAGACTTCTGGTGCCCTTGCTAGGCCGCTGGTGCCCCTGGCAGGCCTCTGGTGCCCTTGCTAGGCCGCTGGTGCCCCTGGCAGGCCTCTGGTGCCCCTGCGCCCGGAGAGGGCTGGTGCCCCTGAAAAGTCTGAAGTGCCCCTCGGCAGGCCCGTCGTGCCCCTGACAGGCCCAAGGTGCCCCTGCGAAAAAAAATAATAAATAAAAATAAAAATAAAAAAACTGAAAATGGGGGCACCACCAAAATGAAGTGGACGAAATCCGTTGAGTTTTTAATTTTGGGTATAGGTAGGGGCGCCACTTCGATTCATGACCCTCCCCTTGGAGTTTTCCTGGATCCGCCCCTGAGCAGTGCTAAGGAAAAAAAAGGTTCTGGAGAAATCTTTTTGGTCGTATGCACCCTGCAGCGTCCAACAGCACCTTTTTTTGATCCGCCAATGCACTTTTTGCATTGTGTGCGTCAGGGCTGCGGAGTCGGAGTCGGAGTCGGAGTCGGAGTCGGTCGGAGTCGACAGTTGTGACCGGAGTCGGAGTCGGAGTTGGAGTCGATTTTAGAAACCCGAGTCGAAGTCGGAGTCGGAGTCACCGAAAATCTGTCGACTCCGCAGCCCTGCTAGGTCTGCGGAGTCGGAGTCGGGAGTTGGAGTCGGTAGGAGTCGACAATTCTGCCCGGAGTCGGAGTCGGAGTCGGAGCTGGTTTTTGAAAGCCGGAGTCGGAGTCGGAGTCGGAGTCGCCGAAAATCCATCGACTCCGCAGCCCTGGTGTGCGTTTTTTATATTCACTTCATAGGCGGTAGAACGGGGGGGGGGGGGGGCACCGGGGCACCGTGCCCCCTTGATTTTGCCATTTTTACATTAGCCCAATGGGCGTTGCATGGAAAGAATCGGACCAAAAGTGATATCGAGGTTTTAGTGACGTCATGATTTCTGAGTTTTCGACCAAAAACGGTATATGTTCAAAAAATCATATAAAATCACAAAATAGACATACAGACATGCCGTAAACGCCATTAGACTGCCAATACCATGAACAATCAAATGGCTATCTTCGATTATTGATTATCGATCCGCATTTTCCAAAATCTTGAACTGAATCTTGGCAATTTATCGTGACTACTTCACGACCATGATACATGCATTTCTTAAATTGAACTTTTTGAGCCAAACACGTACACATATGACAAAATGAGTGTCACCATCGTGTTCTACGCCCCAAATTACCCATAAAACATGTGTCACAGGCTGCGAATATCAGTTTTAATTTTCGGGGATATGTGCCTACCCGGTTGACCTGACCTTGACCCTGACCTATGCTTGACTGACCCCTACATGGAGCTGACACTCTTGTAGGCCTTATATGATGGATTGTGCACCGTTTTGACAGAGTTTATGACGAGAGCCGCCCATTGCGAAGTCCTGAAGTCCATGCTACTGAAAGTCCGATTTCAGGTGTTTGACCTGACCTTGACCCGACCTGTGACCTCAAAATTCAACTTTAAAGTACTCATCTGAAGCGTCTCGTCGCGTTCTTTCGTTTGCCGCCTCGTGCGTTTCGCTGCGCCTATTGGTTCTCGAGTTATCGGCTGGGGGCGTTTAACGCCCCCCCCCCCCCCCCAGCAAACGGTGGGTGGCGGAATACCCCAGCAACTGCCGGGTTAATTGAAGGTGTTCCGCCGCTACTGTTCACTATGCATACAATTTAATCGGATTATCATAGTATTGCAGCCGCTAGAAGTAGAGCTGGCATTTAGGGGAGAACCGTGTAAGACGCCCAGGGCAGGTAAAACGCACCATGCCCTTACTTACGACACAGTTGTGTGGTCCTATGCTTTTACTTTTGTGTGGTCCTATATCAGCAAAATGCTGATGAAGTTTGGTGGGCGCCATTATCAATGGGCTGATTTTATAGCCAAAAACATGATTCTATGAGATTTCTTAGATAAATATCTGTCATAAAAAGACATTAAATTCACTATTCCGTTGTCACTTTGATCTGAGATGCTTTCAGTAAGCAAGACTAGTTTATTGCCTACCAAAAGCAGTATGAAATAATTGTGCCATATTTGCTGATATATCAGATATGCCGCTAAACATAGGCATTGTAATATTCGCAAAACGCCCCGGCACCTGGTTTGTAAAACGCCCATGCCATTTTCACATGTAAAAATGTCTTGCATTCCAAAAGTGGCTTAATTGCGATGCATTGTTGCCGTCGGGTAAAGAGGTGAGAAAAGCATTGGAAACAGTGATTTTTTTGCAATGGGTCAGTTTATTGGGCGAGACAACTTTGCTTGCAATTGCTGAAGTATCGTTTATTTTCTAAATGGTACTCCATCTAATTCGATTCTCCGAAGGCAATGCTACTGACCTTATAATACGTTTCTGCTTACCTATGTAAAAAATATCGTAGTACGGCTGAAAACGGAATATTAAATGCAATATCTATGCAAACGAAACTCATCAACAGGTGACAACCGAAGTGGGGCGTTTTACAACACCAGTTTGCAGAGATCTTGCAAAAGCTCATTCTTACTGGAATGCAGTATCCGAGCGAGTGCCTTGCGTATTATTTTGTTAAATAGTCGGAAGATAAGACTTAAACAAAATACCTAATGATGCATGCTGAAATAACCAGTTCAGTGGTGGCACACCGTTTTTCCTTCAGGGGGCGTTTTGGACGGTTATCCCCTATATCGTCGCCCGTTAAATGTTTTTTTTTTTCCGAAGGTAAGCAAGTTAGCCCATAAGTGCTGATTCTGGCAAGTTTCTCGAGAGCAAATAACATGCTTTTCATAAAAAAAATCGTGAATAGGTATGGAATCCCAGTGGCCAGTAAGCTGGGAAAAACGTAGCGTAAGAAATAAAGGCTTTTACTAGCAATATACTCGGGACCATAACTAATTTCAATAGAAAAACACAATTCTAACGAAATGTGTTTGTCTATTTCAGACAACCTGCGGCTACAGTTTATTGAATGTTGATTTCAGGTCATGAACAGTTAACGAACCCCTCTCGATTTTTGATGGATTATTCGCGAAGTAGCGCAGGGCTGGTAAAAAGCGCCGATTCGCTGATATAGTTCGTTTTTCTTAACCCGCGCCGTGCTGGGGGGGGGGGCGTTTTTACGCCCCCCCCTCAGGTTTTTCGCGAATATCTCAAAAACGGCGGCGCGCAGCGCCGCCGTTTTTGGTACACGTGTTCCTACATCATTTCCGCACATGTTGTGAAAATTTCAGACCTAGGCCGTTCAAGGTCAGGTCACCAGGTCACGTCAAGTGACCTTACCTCAGAAAAAGTTCAAAGGCTCGCTATAGCTACACCGACTGAACGATCACTTTGAAACTTTCAGCGATTGATATGAGTAACAGTATGTATAAAATGTATATCTCGGATTTTTGATATCTGTGACCTAAGGTCAGGTCAATTTTGCGACCTCTCCATTATAAGTCAATGGGAGAAAATTGAAATGCGCCTCTTTTGGACGAATATCGTTCAAAACGCTCTCAAACATCGGTTCATAGGTAAACATGACACACTGAATAGGAAAAATGCACCTGTGACCCCTCTGTGTGCCCCTGAGGTCATCTCAGGTCATGAACGGTCGCCAGCAGTTTTTTGGCTATAACTTTTGATAGAGACGTGCTAGAGCGGTGAAAACACGTCAGATGTGTTCAGCTCGACGATACGGATCGACTGATATGCAACATGACCCTTTTCGGTCAGGTCATGACCTTGACCTGAGGTCAAATTTTCAAAATGACCTTTCAAGGTCAACAAATAGTTCATTCGACGCGTCTCGACGAGAGGAACACGATGCTGGCAAAAGCAATGTCATGGCGCTTATGAGTCAAAAGTTATTGACGAAAAAACGTTTTTCGTAAAAACGGCTATTTTTGAAGTTTTTGCCCTCTGGAGGCTAAACCGTTGACCTGAGGTCAAATCTGAGAACATTACTCAGAAAGGTCTGTAAAAGGGCTATCGAATGCGCTTTTCCGCGGCGCTGTAGCTCTATCGGTTCCCGAGATAGCCGTTGGCAGTTTCCAAAATGTTGAAATAGTCAA